CCGTTGGCTCGCTTCTCTCGTTCCATGGCATCTGCTGACGTGGCAAGGGGTCCTTGGACGGCTTCGATATAGCCACCCTTCATAGACGTACGAATAAAACTGAAGCCGAGACCATGACCCGTCGGGTCACCTTCGCCGTGGAGTTGCAGCATGGCCTTTTGAGCACATGCATCGATAAAGGCTTTTGTCGTCTTCCACGGGGCCATCTTGTCGGCGAGGGTCTCTTCTTGCTTCTCTGGCTGTTTCTTCGTGCCCTTGGCCACTCTGCTACCCTCTTCATCAGCATCTTCATCATCTCCATCGGCGTCCTGCATTTGAACGTCGTCCTCGATATTGGCGTTTCGAGGGTCGTAGCCGGCATCTTCCAGCTCCTTGATGCCCAGTTGCATTGCATCAAGCAAACAAACCTCCTCAGGCTTGATCATGGACCGGATCGCGCTCTCATCTGGTAGAATCTCTCCAGGCTTCAAACGCCACATGCCCTTTTCACCGCTCTCTCGATCATACTGAAGGAATTCCTTGAGCTTTTGACGGTTCTGAGTATCGGTTGACTCGGCGATGTGTTTGGTGATGTCAGACAGCTGGCAATTGTCGGTATCGCTATGCCTAATCATACGGAAAGCCAGCATCTTCATCCGGTTCTTGGAAGCATTCGTAACCTTGCGACTGTGAGGTCCCGGAACCTCCACCGAAGGGAATTGTTGGCCAACGACGTAGAGGTGGTCAATCTTGTGCAAGAACCATTTGGATCCGTGCTCTCCGGTGGTGCTGCGAACAACGAGGAAATCGTTGCCTCGGGGGTTGTGCTTGAAAACGGGAGCACGGTACATTTCGTTGTGCAACGTGGGAACTGTCTCGCCAGCGTCGACAGTACCGAAGAGGGAGAATGGTGATCGATCTTCAGGAAGAAGCATGCGATACTCGCCGAGTTCTTGCTTGGGCAGCTGGTCGTCATCATTGTTGTCCTTTCGTCGATAATAGTTGATGAGACGGTTACCCATGCCAAAGTTGCTAAGGACTCGAGGACGTTGTTCGCAGTATTCGTAAAGAACGGCAACGGAGTTGTCGTTGATGCTCAGGTCCTTGGACTTCAAAAACACTTCGTGTGCCTTGCCCTTCATCTGCTTTCGCTTGTGGTGGTTGGGCTTGTCAAACTTGATAGTGTGGCCAGCAAACTTCTTGTACCTGAAGCGAGGGCGATGGTACTCATCAGTCGTACCACTGAGCTTGACCTTGTAGTACGGCCATGATAGTTTGATGGCAGGCATACTGTGTTCGACAGAAATATTGCCGAGAGTGGCGCGGACCTTGCTCTGGTGGTTCTCCTTGAGCGCCTCGTATGCCTCGTCGTTGGAAATGTTAAATCGCTGGGAGACATCACGGCCGAGGTTGCCATTGGCCATGCGCTTGAGTTTGTTGTCTTGGCGTGGTCGCTTTGCGCTTCTCTGGAGGTCTTGGGTGTCGAGAAGGAGGTAAGGGTCGCCCATGTCGAGATGGACGCGCTTAGCGCCTCGGCGCGTCGTATCTTCAAAGTTGTCAAACGATGGAGCCGAGTATCGGGGAATCTCAGGCAGGCCAAGCTGGACGGTCTTGCGCTTCTTTGGACGTTGTGGCGCATCATCTCCAAGATCCATCAAAAACTCGGCATCCCACTCCTCATCTTGCTCCTCAAATGCGCGTTTCCGTGCTTGCTGCTGTTCCTGCTCGGCGACCTGCTTCGCCTTGAAATTCGCCTCCACAGTGTTAATGTGGACACTCCAGTCCTCGCAGGCAAGTTCAATATCGCGGAGGGTAAAGCCGGCAACGGTTTCCGAGTCGGATTCCTGATCAAGATCGAATTGTACTGTGTCGTCGGCTCGGCTCGCATCGTCTTGACCGCACACCACAACGCCCCTTTCTTCATTCTGCTTCGCCTTACGAGTAATGTTTGCAGTGCCGGGGATGCGGAAGAGCTTTTCCTGGTCGGGGGCGAGATCCAATGTGAGTTTGCTCGTGACAAGAGGCTTCGGCTTCTTTACAGGCCTCTTCTCCTTCCATGTGGCCTTCTTGGCTGGAAGGAGTTCACTCCAGGTCAGAATATGTCCCTTCTTGAACGCAGGCCAGGTAGCCTTGAGGAGATCTTCGACAGTTTCGGCCGGAGCAGGGATATCGGGGTCTTGGTTCGCGCCGTTGAGATGGGGTTCGGGGTCGAAGTTGATACCTGGGAAGCTGAGACCGGCATCCATAGGCTGAGTATCGTCACCAGTGTCGGCATCGCGAACGTGAGGCGCGGGGGAGGAAGGGCCGAGGATCGGGTCGGGTGAGGATGGTCCTTCGCCAAACAAGTCGTCGGCATCATTGCTAGTTCCGCCATCATCTGTTAGACCGGGCATTTCCATGGAAACGCCAGCGCTTGGTTCCTCCTCCTCTGGTAGATCATCGTCGCTGATGTCCTCAAAGTCCTCGGCGTCGTCGGCCTTGCCGGTTTGATCGAAGGGTGTATCGTCGAGCTTGAGGCCGCCATTACCGCCCTCCTGGCTCTGCTCGAGCAGCTTCGCAATCTCTCGGTCGTCGGCAGCATTCTGGGCCTTCCAGGCACTCTCGTCAAATGACGAGAACTCGGCATCGGCAGCCATGGTCGCGGCGTCGCAATCTCCCCTCTCGACAGCTTGGAAGCCGCAGCAAGATGGCGGCGCTTATACCATGCTTCTCGCGCGAAATGTATTCTGGCGCGCCGATCGATCGACGGTGGGCGGCGCGAAGGAATGTCGTTTTCGTGCAAGGAGTCGTTGATTTGAGTTTCGTGGTTCACGTTGTTCACGATCACGGTTGGAGCTGGGGCGAGATGAACGAGGGCCTGAATGCTGAGTCAGCCAATAGAATTCGCGACAGGATGGAAGGGGGGAGAAATGGTCTGTGCACGGCGGGGCAGCAATTAGAAGTGGCGTTTCTCATCTTCAACACCAAAACGGGGACAATAAGAGCATCAATCAACTCACATCGGCATTGTTGTCTAAAAGCTTGGTGCACAAAGGGTTATTTTTTGGCTGCGCGCTGTTGGTGCGCTTGGTCGGAATTCTCCCTTCTAGGCCGCTGACGATTGATGTGAGCTGCAGGAATCGGCGAAAAGACTCCGCGAAGCCCCTTTGAAGATACCAGATAATGGTGGCATCAATCTAGGTTGAGGTTTGTGGTTCAAGGGGATGGGTACAAAGCAAAACAACTTTTTTTGTCAATTCTTGGAAGGGGAGATGAGGGCTGTTATATAGGTACGCAGAGCGGCATGATTCACGGTCGTTCTCATGACTCTGAGCAATGCTGGCTGAGGTTAGGCTACCGTACCTACCTACCTAGGTAAACATTCAACACTCAGTATGGTCAAGGATGAAATCATGGAAGGTAGTTTCTGCGCCATTGAACTACTGGGCTATTCTTGAACGGATTGTCTTATTGCCGTGGTCCTTCATATAGTCTCAGGTTGGCGTACTCATGGTCCCATTGGCAAGTCCAATTCCTGGCTGCAATGAGTTAAACAATCTCACCTCACAATAGCAAGTCTTCTAGATAATTGGTCGCACCCTCGAACTCACTCAATGCTATACTTCATCCCACTTCAATTCATGCTTACACGTTATCCTTCCACCCTCATGCTTGCAAGACCTTGACTCTCTCATGTGGTACCGGGTAGCTGCCATGCCAGAGAGAGAGTATACAGGTCACTGCGTTTCTATTAACTGGCAAGATAAATTCTTATATCGAGATAGTGACGAGCTTCATCACACTTCGTGATGCTTCGGTGCATGAAAGCTCTCGTCTAAACGATGGGTTTACATAACACTCATCCGCAAATCCACAGTTGGAAGCACATACACCTTGACGTGACGGAGTAAACACAATACGTGGCCATACCCTAGATTTTGTACTGTAGTTCTACCCATTCTTGTCTGATACAGACAAGTGTTCTAGGGTCGAGGCACAGGTGTGATAGAAGTCGTTCAACCAAACCACTTACACCTGGACGACCGTTAATGGTTCCATGGTCCGCCAGCCAGGCACATCGCATAATAAAGTCAGATATGGACTAGACACCAGGATGTGTTGTCTCCGGCGCTGACATGGCTTAGCTCCGTTGTAAGCGGACGAATCCTCCACCGACCACTGCCTCTCCCTCAAAGCATGGGGCCTCACCGCCAACTTACGGAGATGAATCAATATTGTCAATTCTTATCTTGAAGCGGCCCGTACATCCATTTCATCAACAGTTTGGGCGTCTGTAACCGAGCAAGACCTCATATGACGCAGTGGGCGCAGTCCTTCGGCCAGTTCCTGTTTGAGGTCTTGACCATGCAAGAGAGCGTATCGGAAAATGTGACCTCAGCATCTGTTGATCCCTGGCGTATTGCTGTCTGCCCCGTTGCGTATCCCGGTTGGGGAGTCCGTGGCACCATACGAGTGTTAGGCTCAGTGTGCCTTGGTTTTAGACCGGTGATTTGCATTGATTGAGTTGTGACTTGGTGATGGTGGGCAGTTGGCATTATGCCTGGGGCTTTACAACCTTGCGCCCGATGGGGATTACGCCGCGAGGAAATTGAAGTCGGCTCGGGTGTAAATGAGTCGGGAATTGGCCGAGCTGATGTAAATGACAGAGATTGTGTCTGCGCAGTGTTGTGATACACAGCCTGCGACTGTGCAGGAGTCTACATGTCAGTGATGTTGAAAATGTCACTTGAGTTTGTAACCACACTTGATATCAGAAATAGGTAATTGTATTCAATGCAAATTCGAAAAGGCAAGGGTAATTTTGTTGCACTGAGCCGCCGTTCTATGTAAAAACGCCATCAGAAGGTGTGAGGATAGCCTCCAAACCCATCATCAACGCCATATGGCAATCCCAACGCCGTAGAACATAACAATCCATCAATCTTGGCTGGCTTTGTTTCCAGCCATCCCAAAAAGTCGTGAACAGGTCATTAAATCAGAAAAGACAGAATATGTACGTAGAAAGAAGGAGTAGGCGTAAACTAGACGAGGAAGACGGTCGCGGCGACTGCGGCCACGGCAGGCCAGTAGCCGAGGGCCTCGATCATGCCCCTCATGCCAAGGCCTGCAGGACTGTCCTGCTCGGGGACGGTGGTGCCGTTGGGGAGGGTTCCGTTGATGAGGATGGTGATGTTTCCCTTGTACTCGGCGACGGTGACGATGGACTTGTTGAGGGCCTCCCAGCTGCCGTTGCCGATGAGCTGGTCGTAGTAAGCGGTATCGTTGTTGTCGTCGCATCCGCAAACCTGGTATCGGCTGCATCCACACATGACGTCGCGGACCTCATCCTCGTCGCTCGTGTCGTTGTGGAAGTGGTACTGGTGGGTGTAGGGGTACATGTAGGCGCCGTACAGCCAGACGCCGGGCCAGAAGGCGAGGGCGCTGCCGATCAGGACGAAGGGGAGGATGCCGGCGCCGGGGCTTCGGTTTCCGGATCGGTAGGGAGCGACGGCACCACCGGGGTAGTATCGACCGCCGGCGAAGTTGGGCTGGGGGCCGGAGCCGCCTCGGGAGCCACCGCCTACATTCGAAGTTCGGGAGCTGCAGGTGAAGTGTTAGTAAATATGAGACAAAGGATGTTTGGGGGCTACTCACGATCCGCCGTTGTTCTTGAAGCTGCTGCTTGAACCTGAACGATATGAGCTTCTAGAACTTCCTGAACGGCTGCTTCCGCTTCCAGAGCTCGAACCTCCAGAGCGGCTGCTGCCACTGCCACTGCTGCTACTACCTCCTGAGCTTGATCCGGAAGAACTGCCGCCGGAGCTGCTTCCACCTCGGCTTCCACCGGAGCTGCTGCTACCACCACTGCTACCGCCGCCGCGTCCTCCGCCGCCGCCGCCGCCACGACGCTTGAACAGCTCGTGCTCGTTGGCGCTGGGTTCGGACTCGATGCGCTTGATGCGACGGGGCGGGTCAATGACGGATGCGGCCGCCGAAGTGACCAGGGTGAGGTACACGAAAGCCAAGTCGAATCTCATTGCGAATAGGTCTTTGTAGGACGAAGGATTGGGTAGGTAGGTAAAAGGTGCGCGTTGTGTCGCAAGAATCAATGCAAGAAGCGCGTGTAACAAAGAAACGCGAAGTAGCTGATGTTGATTCTGGATTTGCCGATAGCAGGGGAGGTTCTGGAGTTTCGGGGGAGAGGTTGCAGGCCCTTTTTAATATGGGAAGGGTCGTTTGATGTGACGCTAGGTGCACGTTTTGCTGACGGGCCAGGATCCTTTGAGGTTCCACTAAGGCACAAAGAGAATGCGCTGGGGTGCCCTGAGGGTGTGGGTGGTGTGCAAGCGTTGTGTGCCTTTGGATGATCGGACCGCTGGGAGATGATGATCTCAGCGAGAGGCGATAAAATAGTGATGATGTCGTGGAGCCGGTGATCGACCACTGGTAGCAGGGTCAAGCTGTGGCTATGAGGTCACGAAGCGGTGCGTTTTGATGCTCTGATGGAACAGGAATTGATCGCTGTTGAGTGCTCGTGTAATGATGATGGGAAGAGCAGGGTCAAGTTTCTTTGTTTCAAGAAAATGTGCACGATGACTTCTTTTTAAAAGGGAGAGAGGTCTAGGCATATGGTGGCTGAATGAGCTGAAAGGCAGCCAATTTCTCACAAGAACAAGGCTAATCTCCAAATGACCTCTTTTACACTCTCGGCCCACGGGGAGCGAGCTAAAGTCACGGCGTCGTTTCTGGCAGTACAACAGTGAGAAGGACACTAACGAGGCGGCCGCCTGTGGCGTAGAGCCTCTCATTTCTTGCAGGACATGTCCGCTCGCATTCGGCGTGTTGTTCCGTGGAAATGGACCTTGCTTCTGTTGGCTGTCATGACAAACATGCCATTGGCTCAGTTTGTTTCTTTGCTTTCGATTTCTTCCATGCCCTGGCTGCCTTTTGAAAGACCCTGGTTGCCTTGTGATGAAATTGCATGGGTTCCGTTTTTGTGGCACAAGCTTGTTGGTATTAAGCTTGCAGGGAAAAGTAGCGCGAGTGTCTCAGCGGGGCCTTGTGATTGGCTGTTGCTATGGCTCGTGCGACAAGGCGTTTTCTAGGCTGATTTTGTGATCCCTGCGGTAGGTAACAAACTCCAAACACCGCCATGTTGGGCTTTGGTGGCTGAATAGTTAATCTTTTTGGGATTGGGAAAGGTGTTTTTTGCCCCGGATCTGGTTGCCTTGTGATCGTAGGGCTGGCTGACCGGCTGCCTCATCTTGACTTTTGGAGATGGACATGACAATTGCAATAGAGGCAGCCGCAGCAAGAGGAAGCACAGCAAAGACAAAGTTCTTACTCTGCGCTGCGGTGTCTGTTCCGCATAATAACCAACACGTGTAAGGTCGGTCACCTTGCAGGATGCAGCCAGTGTAGCAGGTTTACTCCAATGGATGACCTGCGGGCTGCCTCATGCTGCTGTCAAAAAGAATGCCTGTTTTGCAGAAGCGAGATGGTCAAGTGACTGCTTTGCCCCTCTTGTCGAGCAAACAGACCTCCCATAGCCACAAACTAACACCCCAATAGGCATCTCGCGAATTCCGAGAAAATGGTTGTAGTCTTGCTGAGGCTGTGCTGAAAACACCACCTTCTAGAAGCACTGACTAGCAGTTCGGCCAGTTCCCATCATGGATGTCAAAAGTCCGGGCTTGGCCACAATCGTGCAGCCGTCCCCGCCCAGGAGCTTGGCATCGATCCCCCGATGAAGGACATGTGGGTTGACGAAACGATCTTCACCGACGATTAACGTTTGAATTTGGGATAGCGTCACTGATCTGCCAAAACCTCTCAGCCTCGCTGCAGATGAATCCTTCAGCTGTCATGGGGCGAATAACCTTGATTGTAGTAGCATTTAATTCTCAAGCTATAGTAAATCCATGCATGGTTGCTTTGGCTGCCTCCTTGTGTCAACTAATGGTATTGCATCAATCTGTACTAGATCATGCTGAAACTGGGCGTCAAACACGAGATACGAGACACAATCTGCCTCGAACAAGGCTGATCGTGTAAGAGTCTAAGCATCTTGAAACTCACTCCGTCCCCTCGTGTAGCAGGTAGGATCCGAACCAAACCCTGGTGCACAGTAGACTATTGACATCATGTTTGGGTTAGCCTACATGAAAATATTCGCTGATGCCTTGGTGTATGCAGCACCTAGCAAGACGATCGAGATTGTATGATTAATATCATATTTCTGGCGACATGGTGCGCTCCGCTTTGACGGTTCAGGTATCATCACATTCAATGAATGACCTACTGCACGAACTTCGGTGACTTAGAGCGATTACAGAGTGATGGGGTAATCAATGTAAAAAAGAAGAGTACTACGACCGAAAGACCAGACATTTCTACGAAAGACCAACTATGAATGGATTCAAATGGTCGAACACGACTCGCACTTGAAGGCCAGAGTAGGTCCGTGGATTGTCGGAGCGCAGGGAGCCCGTTGAAGTCAAAGGCGAATATGATTGCAGGTGCCCCCATTGCAGTCGACGCGGTGTGCCATGGCGTACTTGACCGGTGTGATGCAGCACCTGTCCGTGCCCAATTCCTTTATGGACTGGGTGATTGAGAAAACGCCTCGTGTGCTGATGTAGCCCTTGCTGCAGGACGGGCCAGAAGGGTGCTTGGTGTGAATGTGACTGCATACAGGGAAATGGCTACTGGGAGCGGTGAGCTTCGCGTCTTCCTCAAAATTCAAGCGGTTCATGGTTCAAGGAGCGCTGCCGTACCCGCGGTTGACCTTGCTTCCGAAGCGAGAGTTGATAGCCGAGCTAGTGTACAAAGGAGGTGCCTCGCTTGTCATGGGAGAGGTAACTGTAGTAGAAGAAGCAACGGTAGTACAAGAAATCTCGGTGGTAGATGCCACCTTAGCGGTAGAGAGAGCTTTAGCAAAGAAAGAAAGCTTAATTGGAAAAGACCTTTCAGCTATTGGGGGAGTCTCAACGGATGGTGAAATTTCGCTGACGATTCGGCCGCCGGCGGTGGACGTTAAGCTCGGCTCTTGATGGGATAACTGAGCGAAGAGACAGTAGAGATCAAAAGAAACGTCAAGAAAGGAGGGGCAGGTCGACAAACAAGCCCGAAAAAAGAATATTCGGTCTATAATGTCAGCCCTGACCCAACGGTATGAAGAGACGGGATGTAGTACAATCCTGGGTCGTTGGTCGAATTGGAGCCAAGGCCGCCACAGAGCGCCATGGGGTTATTTATGTGCATTAGAAGGAGTGGCTGCATTGGTTCAGCCTACGGTGGCGTTGTCTAAATCCCAATAGCCGCACCAAAATCCCTTGAAAAAATGCACATTCGGCGCCCTGTGCTGTCAGACTGCATTGCCTTTGCTGTCAGCATGTCCGGACCTGACATCAGCAATGCTTCAATACTGCGTTCATCTGAGTTTATGTCCAACATACGTGGGTTGTGTGTCGTTGATAGCTTCACAAGGTCGGACTTTGGCTCCTTGGGTAGCTGGCCGGAGCCCTGTTGAGGTTCGTAACCGGCTTCAACACCGGCTTCAAGTAAACACGGTTTCTGCTACCTGGTCACGTTTTGCAGTAGACCAACCTGTTAGAATGATGATACAGTCCCCGTTGGGATCTATCAACAAGCGGCGATTTGCGTGGAGATATTCGAGACAGAGGAGTCATTCTTGACTCTATTACGAAAATTGCATGTCGGAAGGGCAGAGTCAGGACTGACAAAGGATCATGCTAGCCTTTCGACTGTCTTGAATATGAAATCCCTGCAACTCTCAAGGAATATCATTGCAAATCTCTTGGGCACTGTGTGTGCGAGTATGAACTAGTGATCGGGCGCGAACACCCACGCCATGTTCTTGTCCATGTATTGTTTTTGGCTGATCTCTCAACTGTAATGTTGTGGGCACCATCACATAGGAGACCATAGATGTATCTAGTTTCTCTTGTCGAGTCGTCAGAGGGCAGATATACACGCCGTATTCTCGTCCAGGCTTGTTCTTGACGGATCTACCAATCCCAATACCTTTCACGCTGCGTAACATAGGAGATCATGGTTATGCCCGATATTACTTACCTAACTCAAGGAGTACAACGCTTGAACAGGAATACTAGGAGGAGAGTATCCAAACTATATAAGGCGAAATGGTTTCGTCTCTGTCTCCCTCATCTCCACAACACACGCTTGCTCTGAAGAGTCGATAACCTACCTCTTTCTGATCAAGCAAAACCTGACAGGCTCTTGAGCTAGTTACACGAATTTTCTTGTCACAAAATCCCCCGTCATGCCGGAATATGCTTGGCTTCCCAGCCTGGACTTCTCCCAGGACGCCGATGTTGTCCAGGAGCGGCCAGTAAGGCAGCCGATTCGTTGGCCTGGTGAACTGACTGCGGCTGAGAAAGCTGCTCTCCTTGACCTACTGCAGGCTGGGGCTGAAATGCTTCCAGAAGCACCTTTGCCGGTTACTCGGATGCATTTTGACCGGTTGATGGAACTTGTCTTTAGTGACAAGTGGAATTCGCGCGTCGGGGGTACCAAGTATCCGAAGATCCCCAGTAGAAAGTTTGAGCACACAACTCTGCCGGTGGGAACTCTCAAGGAGGATCTCCCTCCTCGTGGAACCGCAACTGCCAGCGGGGAGACTTAGAAAGCTCCCCCGGCGCGATGCCATGGGGCCTGGGTCTACCTCCAACTAAAACTCAGAATCAACGGCCCTAAGTTGATGTGGTCCTTTACCGATGCGGAAGGCAAGATGGTCGAGCCCAAGTACATCGACGATACCACTGGAGTACTAGAGGCAATGGTGGATCTCAAAGCCGAGCTCATCCAGGAGTATGACAGGCACGAGGAGAAGCGCGTGCGCGAGTACAATACGTGCTGCATTGTTAACCTGGCACGTCGACGTATCGCCAGATTTTCAAAGGCTGGGACTGAGAACCCTCCATGCGTCGACGTCAGAGACCTTCCCAAACACCTTGTCAGGCTGACGCGCGCCCAGGACATTGTCACGGCTATGGCGAATTCCTGTGAGATTGAGAGGGATTCTGAGACTGAGGAGGATGAAATCAAGAAGGAGGATGAGATTAAGAAGGAAGAAGAGATCAAGAAGGAAGAAGAGATCAAGAAGGAGGATGATTCCGAGAGCAAATGAAGAGGAGTAACCATGTTTCCTTTTATTATTAGTATTAGAGTAGTTGGGAGTCTGACTTACTTGGGGGCAATCGGCGTGAAAGCTACTTGAGCTTGCGCAATCTTTTTCAACTCAGCAAAGTCGCACCAGCGGCTGTCAGCGTATTAATACCCCATAGACTAGAATAGTTTCTTTATTGATTTCTTTTTGAGCGCATATTATTCCAAAGTGAACGTGAAATCGTTTTGTGTCAGTGCCAGCTACGTTCCACTACTGAACAAGAGAATACCCCTTTTTAAGCATCTACACACCCGACTCCATTCAAGTCCAGCAACTCCTCATCCATGTTCCGACATGCCCACTTGGCATCCTTACCACTTGGGGGTGTGACGGTGACGTTCTCAGCTCGGATATTGTCGCAGGACTAGATTCATTAGTGCATGTACAGGTGAGTGCGAGAACAGAAACTTACATCTTCAGAACTGCAGATGAGAGATCCAGCTACAGGGTCATTCTTCTTTGACACTGTGCCCCAAAAGTCCTTGAACAGAATGTCTGTGAGAATCACCTTTGATGGGTCGGCTTCGCACTCGGCGGCGCTGACGGCACCGTAGCATTGGTCAATTTTGATTGCGCCGTCGTTGTTGTCGTTGAAGAAACGCTCGTAAGTGACGTTTCGTACACGTCCTTCACCGCCGCCACCGATCCACCCCTCAGGCTTTTGGACATCAGCACCGGGCCAGACTTTGAGACGAGCACCATCTGTTGCGTTGCTCATAGAAATGTTGTAGATGTACAGGTTCTCGATATTGTCAAAGACTCCTGGGTACTGCCCAAGAGAGCCTACAGAAATGCCGTGGGATGAGTTGCAGACAAGCCCTTGGACGATGATGTTGGTGCTGTTGGGCTTGAATGATACGCAGTCATCATCATGGTCAATGTAAGAGTTTTGGATGACGATGTTGTCTGATCGGTATGTGTCCCAGCCGTCGAGGTTTTTGGCAAAATTCTTTGATGTTGAACGAGAGAAAATATCAATGTCAGAAATGAGAATGTCTGAGCTATTGGCGATGAGATTGTGCCACTGGCCAAATATTAGTACATCTATGTGTAAAGGTACAAGATAACTTACGTTGGGAGACTGCCGAAGCTTGAGACCAGTGATGGAACCTCCCTCCCAACCGTCTGTCACAAATAGAAGCGGACGTTTGACTTTGCTGTCTGCGGCGTGGGCATCGTACCAAGCTTGGCCGTTGCCGTCGATGGTTCCTGTGCCAGCTCCATAAATATTAATGTCCTCACCACCAAACAGCCACCAAGAAGAGCCATCTTGGAATGGAAACTGAAAAGTCCGGGGAAGCCAACGCTCAACGTCATCACAGAATTTGACAGTTCCAGTCAAGGCAATATCAACATGCTTGAGGAATCTCAAGTCTAGCTGGGTGCAGATGGTGTACTCCTGGTCAAGGACCACGGTACCTCCATTGTTGCACTTCTTAAAGGCACGTAAAATCTTGGATGCATCGTCACCGCCCTTCTTGCCGGGTTTGACGAAGCATGTCTTTCTGCGAGGGGACGAGGTTGGGAATGCCTTGTATGGTTGCAGGGGAGTTGGTTCGTAGTGGGGACGCTTTGGGGCATGGCCAGCATCAATGAGTTCGGCCAACGCCAGAAAGGCGAGCACGATTATAGGTCTCAGTAGCATATTAGGTATAATTCCTTTTGATGGGTCAGATGATCTTGGCTTTCGGTACAGCTCTTCACCGAGGACTTTGCGTAAACGTCCCAAGCTCTTATAATAGCACCCTCGTTGGTGACCTTCGGGATAGTTTTCCCCGTCCAACGCGGTCTGACTTCAGCCGATAACATTATCAGAAACCCAATCTCTCGGCAGTCCCACTCTCCTCCACAAAGTCGGCCCGTCTCCATGCCATCCCCATATTCCCCAGGTGCTTAATGAGGAGCTTCAAGCTTCCCCGCGTGCGCTGTCGATCCCCCAACGTACAGCTGAGCGAAAGCTCGGTAGAGTTGTTCCACCAATGGTTTCTCAATCTCGCTTACATCCGAGGCCAAGGTGAACATCATTGCCGGTTCGTGTCTTGGAAGATGTCCATGATTCGTGGCATAAGCAGGCCTGGCTGGACAACAGCAAGGTAATATGGAAGGATTCAGGCTAAACTTGACCGATTATCATCATCTTAACCTCAAGGTCGCATGTGATCTTTGTGCGGGGGAATCAAATATGCTTATTGACTGATTGATGGAGGATCTCGACATGGGAGAGAATGAGCCGATCTGGGCATCCTGCAGCCCGGGTAATTCCCGTACCAGTAAAGACCAAGACCCGCCGGCAAAGGCATTCCGCGCGCCAAGAGGGGCCATGACTAGGGTCCGAGTCCTCGAATGTCGCATTGGGCGTCATGTTGAACGACATCGGAGCTCCCCTGTCTAAACACCATTGGTGGCTGACCTTGGCTCTTGTACCCCCCCTGCGAGAGCCGTCTACCCGAGCTTAGAGTCTGCTAGCGAAGTCGCAGATCTGTGGATAAAAAGGGTCCATGCTTAATGGGCTTTGTCCACTTTTCAAAGTGGTCTTATCAATCTCGATTTCTCAGGGTTCTCCCCATTCTCTTTTTTTTCTCATCTGCACTGATCAGGAGATCCCTTTTCGCTTCAGAGGATAGAGAGCCAAACTTCTAGTCAAAATGGCTTCGAAAAAGCTATACAACTGGTGGGTCATGCGTACCCTGACAGACTTTGAATGGCCATGACTGACTTGGGAAATTAGGTATTGTGCCATGGTGGCGGCACTTTGCATGGTGCTTTATGGTAAGAGCTTGTCTTCGTGCGTCTCGTCAAGATTCATGCTGACCATACTATGCAGGGTACGATGCTTCGGTTTTCAACTCTCTCCAGGGTTCAGATAACTGGTTCGAGTGGGTTAACATGGACCCGGTGGAGGATACTTACATGCTTGGGTTGAGTAAGTTCACACTCCAAGCCTTTGGCGGTGTCTTTGGAGTTTCGATAGCTAACAGTCTGCTTCCAAGTCAACACGAGCTACACAATCGGAGCCATCATCTCTGGCTTCTTCATGGGCGGACCCCTCGCTGACTACATGGGCCGTCGCTGGGGCATGTTTATCGGCTGCTTCATCACCATAATAGCGACCTTTATGCAGACCTTTACTCCACACCACAAGATTGGAGTCTTTATTGCCGGCCGCGTTCTCATTGGCATCGGTCAGGGTCTTGCTCTTACTGCGGCGCCTGTCTACATTGGAGAAGTCGCTCCAGCCAACATCAGAGGAAAGGTCATGACGATCTGGCAGATGAACTACTCCGTTGGGTCCTTCATCGCTTATTGGATCAACTATGCTTGCTCCAACAACCGTGAAGGCATGGGTCAGTGGGATTGGAAGATGGTTGTCATCTTCCAGATTCTCGTCCCAGCCATCGTCTGCGCTTCTGTCCTATTCATTCCAGAGACTCCTCGATGGCATATCCAGAAGAATGGCAACGTGGAGGCTGCTAGAGCTGCACTTGCCAGAATTCGAGAGACTGAGGAAGAGGTTGAGGAGGAACTGCTCGCTATCCGTGGTGCTATTGAGTACGAAAAGGAGGCCATCAGGGGAGTTTCTTATTCTGCTCTCTTCCGGGACCCCTCAGTCCGAAAGCGAATCATCCTTGCCTTTCTCCTCAACATTGGCCAGCAGCTGTCCGGTCAAGGCACCCTCAACTCGTACTCTACGACCATTTACAAGAACGTGTGGTCAGACAAGAAGAAGATCAACCTCATCAACGCCCTCAATGCTACTTTCGGTATCATCTTCACTCTCAACGCCATGTGGACCTCTGACCGTTACGGCCGCCGCTGGCTACTCATGGTTGGTGCCGTGGGTATGGGAGTCTGCATGCTCATTGTCGCGGTTGTCGGTTTGGAGACACCGACGTTCGAAGGCAACGTCAAGTCCGAGTCTGTGGGCATTGCCATCGTCTTCCTCTTCTTCCTCTTTGCCTTCTTCTACAAGCCCTCTTGGGGAGCTACGGTTTGGATGTGGACTGCCGAGGTGTTTTCCATGAACATCCGTGCTCAAGCCGTGGGCATGTGTTCTCAGATGCAAAACGTGGCCAACACCATCTTCCAACAGTTCTTCCCCACCTTTTTCCGTCGGGAGGGTCTCAAGTGTCTGTTCTTCTTCATGGCCATCAACTTCTGCCTCGCGGCTTACGTCTACTTCTTCATCCCCGAGACGAAGCAGGTCCCTCTGGAGGAGATTGATACTCTGTTTGGTGGTGCTTCTCATGCTGCCAAGGGTGGTGATATGCTGGAGGAAAAGGCTGCTGTTGAAAGCACGGCTCAGCCATCGGGTCTCGAGATTGAGAACACTTCTCAGGCAAAGCAGGCCAGCAACAAGGAACAGACTGTCTAGCGCTGAAGTGTGGACAAGGGAACTAGACCAAGCATGTTAAGAATAGCTAAGAACTAGGAAATTAGTATATTGCTGGTCCTAGGTGCCAGCTGTTACAGCTTTTTGAGCACTGATGACCTAAAGGTAGTTCTTGTATGCATTGTTCTTAGCCACCTGACTATCTGGGCCCCTCACAAGTTCAAATATATCCGTGATAGCGGTTTCGAAGAGTAGGCAACGCAATCTATTTTCGGTGGAGGATGATGCTGGGCTGGCAGATGGGGTGAGAAAAAGCACATGCACATCACTAAAATGATCCATTCGACTGAATATTATAAGTACCTAAACCCCCCCCTTAGCCCCCATTTGTAGACACAAACTGCCCCTATCGCAGCGTAAGCCACTCTAGACCGGATGGGTTATCCTGTATCCATTCGGGTTGGTTTAGATCAACAACAAACACGGTTCCCACAAAGGTATAATGATCCCCCAGTTGGTGGAGTGACACAGGTTGGTCATAGTGCTTGAGCACGCAGAGTCGGTCGCCTTCTCGTACATCTAGGGGTCCTCGTCCAAGGTATCCCCTCTTGGTCTCAAAAATTGACCGATCCCCAATCTCCTGACACAGGGTTATTAGATGATCCAAAAGTTTGTCTTTCCGAGATTCTTTATCTGCGAATGGATTATCATTAAACTTTAGCTCGGTTAGATATTTGTCTGGGAAAGCCCGCTGGTAAAGTTGAGTCTCCCAATCGGTAGGGAAAATTGAAGAGTCTGGGGAGTCCCAGCCGCCCAAACCGTCAGGGTAATTCTCTGTCTCGTTTGGACTTGACACGGCAGCTAGAGTAAGAAGAGAATAGACCATATCCTCTGTCACATCTTTTGAGACCTTCTTGTAGAGTAGACGAGCGATATCTTGCCAGGATGAGGTGCCGGAGATGGAGCGTGGATGCCGGGATGTATAGCAGCGAAAAGAGTGTTTAATGTCACAGAATAGTTTTCGAATAGTTTTAAGGTTGTCGAAACCAGTGGGTTCTTCGAAACAAGCGGGGCTGGTGAAATTGGATACATGGAGAACTGGTTCGATCTCAGCTCCCAAAACGACAAGGCTTCCAGTCTTTCTGTCTAGATACGGATACCTGCTTGGATCCTCTCGAGATTGACTCGGGGGAGTCGTAACCTGCAAGATCCTTGTTTCTCTGTGTAGAGCATTCTTGGGGAAATTCGGAGCCCAGCTTGGAAATGGAAAGTCGTCCGAGGATCCAAAATGCCCAACACCCGCAAGCGACAAGAAGCCAAGGGGTAGGATCCGCGACTGTTCAAGTTGCATGATTGGTTTATTCCTAACTTCCAATTCCAAGGAGGCCTCGATCCAGCGCTCGACGAACTCGGTATACACTTCAGCGTCGCTTTTGGTATAGTCTGGTGTCATTGGGATTTGAGTGATTGCCAGAAGCCCGTAAATGTAGTCCTTTGGATCTTTGGCGACAAGCCGTGTCGCAGCGATTGATTGCTTCCAGCTGGGGCAAAGACCGCATTCCGCCCAAAACTCCTTGATTGGTCTCAGGGTATCATTCATTATTATGATTTTCCAGGCATCACGGAGTGAGTCGATTCCATGATGGGGCGGAAACCAGCGCAGACCTTCCCATACCTCTTGGCAAAGAAATTCTGGCCTTTGCACCTTACCCCTGCGGATTTTGGTCTTCAGATCAAGCTCTGTATAACTTTGTGCAAACATAAAAAGGTCTTGCCGACTCAGAGTCATGCCACCTGAGCTGAATAGGTGGAGCCGACTAGCAAGCACGACTTCTTGGTAGATCCATACTCGCTCCCAGTATTTCTCCAGAAAAAGATCCCCAATGGAGTTCCATGCATCGTTTTTGAACTTTCCCTCAGTGTTTGGTGTCTTACTACAAAGACTGGGGTGTCGTTGAAGCCACTCGAGCTCGAATGGGGGCATGTCGAGGATACCGAAGCTGACGTGTTCATCACGGTCGTTAGGGACATAACTTGAATAATGCAGAGCCACCTCGTTAGCGAGTTCCCTGATGGTTTCAAATGCTCGCGAGTGATCTTTTGGGCCAACCCATGCGCAGACAGCTTGAGCGCACTTGAATATGCGGCTCATGAGCTGGACTTGTTGCGAACGCTCATAGATGTCTTCTTGGTTGATGCAGATGGCATCTGCCCATAAATATTTAATGGGGGTGGAAGTTCTTCCAATGTTCCCACTCCGGATGTGAGACAGAGCAGAAGCCAGGTTTGGCGTGACCTCTTTGTCTTGGCCCTGGAGGGCGATCTTTTTGAGGTCCTTCTCCTCGCCCCAGACGTACGAGAGCGCAAAGTATTCTGGGTTGTCGTCAAGCGAGACTGTGATGAGTCCCCAGTCCTCGGAGCCATCTGAGGGAACCTCTAGTAGTCGAATCTCGGAGGTGTCTGGGTTGAGGCGTTCGTAGAGAGTGGAGGCTGCCGTTTCCATCGTGGACGAGGAAAGACATGAAAGACTGCAAGATGTTTGACTGAGATTGTGAGAGTTGAGCGCTGGTGCAAGGTTGATGGTAATCAGGATTGTTTGGCGAAAGGATAAAAATGGAGGATCATCGTGAGTTTAAAGGAAAGACAACGGACAGGCATTCAAGAGGAAACATGCGGGAAAAGCACGCAACTCAAACTAGGTGCGAGTAACCGGTCGTCTTATCTCTTACTTATGAAGAGGGCATAGTTTCATTGGCCGCAACATTGAGGCCAGGCCAGCTGAAAATGCACAGATGGAGCTACCTCCGCTACGTGGGTAAGAGATTGATGTTAATAGGCCGAATCCGCATGATGACTGCTTCTCGTCAGCCGCAGCTGAGTTCAGTCACCTATCAGAAGTGTCTATTGGGGTGCACAACAGAGAGCTATCGATGCTTGGGGGCTCCTAGATGCAGATAAGAAACGGCATTTCTTCAATTGGATCGTCTTTGTTCTCGCCGGGTGCGATATCGTACGACCCAGTGACTTTGATTGCTTGATTGATTGTGGTTCTGGGCATTGTGTTGGCAGACATTGTATTGAGAGACTGCGGCCTTGAGAAAGTGGAAAATTCTCTTGTCTCTCATACGGAGGTTAGAGCAGTACCCCATGAGAGGTTTACCCTTTTATAATTATATAGTTAGGTATAACTCTTTGATTATAGGCATTAGGAGATTAAAAAGAGACCACTATATTAGCATTAGGTCATAATGCTACGATGTGTTGATAATGTGTTCTTTATTATAGTAAAAGCGCGGCCCTTGATGGGTTAACCGAGCCACAAGATCGTGTAGATATACAATTTGCCTTGCTATATAAACTTAATAGGACCCAAATCTCACAGCGCTCATAGCTTGTAACAATGATCCAGCCTCTTTTGAAGATCCCCTTTGGCCTGTGCAACTTCCCCTTCAAGATCAAAATTCGCAATGATGCCATTTCTCTCGTTAATCTCACTCTCAATCTTGACCATGTCGCTACCAATACCATCTGCCAGCCATTCGTAGCAGTTTCCAATCCATCTGCTGCTCTGCACAAGCCACTGAGATCGTTCCCGGCGACACTCGTCGAATGTTTCGAACACGGAGGGAAGATCTCGGGAGCTGTCGATGCTGGAGAGTAGCTCGGCTAGGAATGCGCTGTCTTCGATGCAGAATCCTGCTCCGGCGCCGTGATGGGGTGATGTTGCGTGGGCGGCGTCTCCAGCAATGCACACTCGACCTTTGTGGAAGGTTGGGGCTGGGTGATCACCGAGGTCAAAGATGGCCCACTGATAACTGGTAAGTCTATGCACGGGACGAGCGTTAAAAATCACTTACAACTTTGAGCTGTTCTTCAGTCAATCGTAGTAGCCCAGTGACGGCTGATCCGTATCCAGCAAAGTCTTTCAGAGCATCCTGCCGACTAGCAACAGTAGTTGTTCTGCTGTAGTCTTCCCAGTCTGTTGGAGATGTGCGAAAAGCTACAATGTTGAGCTTTCGGCCATGGTCGACTGGAAATGTGAGGACATGGCCACCTTTGCCCATCTGAAGGGGTTAGTCTTTGTGCTGGCGGAGTAGAGCACTTTTAAAACTCACGTGGATTGTGGCATTACGTGCCTTTTCCTCTCCGACGGCTTCAACTGCCTTTTCCATAGGCACCATGCCTCGGTAGGCGTACTTGTAAGAGTATGTTGGGTGTGCTGAAGGATGATCGAGGCCGACGACCAATTGCCGTACACGAGACTTGATTCCATCACAGCCAATAACAGCGTCGGCAGAGGCGGTAGTTCCATCGGTGAAAGACATCGTCACCTTTCCATCGCTCTCAGTGATGGTATCAAGGCATTTCCCAAACACAGCCTGGTCTTCTGGGAACAGCTTGGCCAACTCGTCGAGGTAATGAGCTCTGTGAACACCATTCTGCCCAAGACTGCTGTTGATGGTAAACCCAGCGCCCTCATCCTTGGTACCATCGACAAAGTCAAACCAGACTTTCTGCTTTGACGGCCAACTGTTGCGCGTGCAGACCTTCTCGAAAGCCTCATGTACGCCAGGGTGGCAGAACTCCATAGCCCGGACTGCATTTGGCGTGAATGATACACCAGCACCAATCTCTTCAAATTTTGATGCTCTTTCGTACAATTTCACTGGGATGCCGCGATGGTGTAGCGCGATGGCAAGGGTTAGGCCAGCGATGCCGCCGCCGACCACTGCGATGTTGAAGTCTTTTGTTGGAGCCATTGTGAATGTGAATGTTGCTGAGTTGCCTTGCATGGACTTAGTTCAAGCCAAGGACTGATCTCTAATTATAAACCCAACTGGGTGGCCTTGTGGAGCGCGGGGAATGCCATCGGTTAAGGTGACGTTCATCCGGAATTGCTCTTGGTCATGGGAGATGGGGATCCTCCGTCCTGTTAGTCCCCGGGAATGCCGTCATAACCGATAATTACGGGAGAGAAGTGTTGTTGTCGCAGGGCGGGCTGTCGGAATTCCCGAAGACCCCCTCAAGAGGCTAGTGTAAGTCCGTTCATCTCCCCGACGCCACTAACCCCGGGCCTTGCTGCCGCATCATGGCATGCCGAGTCCCGATGCACAAGAGTAAAGCTCCTAGATAAATCATGGGCAGACCGGCGACCTCCAGATTAACTGATCATACGACTGGGTCTCTGCGAACTGTTGTCCGCGACTATAAGAACCACCCCGATTCCTCCGGACTAGTGTACGGAGATAACTTAATGCAACGACTGGGGAAATCCCTAGCATTTCTGCAAATTTCATACAGTCTATGACATTTCAGCAGAGTGCATTCCATACTACCAGCGGAAAATCCTACGGACGGACAAACTCCGATGAGGCGACTTTGCATCTTCTACAACCGATACATGCCTACATGGGATGGTTCTACGTCTGCGTCTGGGCGTGAGGCTTGGCTCGCTTGAGCAATGGCGTCTCAATAACAAACATTCTACCAAGGCCTGGACTCGATGCCCGTTGAATTCACATGATGAATTCACACTCTGTTGATACATGGTGTTCTGGCCCATGCTAGTCTTGGCACTATGGCTTGCTTCCTCGGAGTCTTGTTCCTCGGAGCTGACCCCTGGCGCGGGCGTGTTTTCGGCAAGTATGCCAGCCAATGCGGTTTCACAGCAAACCCCCCAACATGCAGTCACATCATGCTTAAAAAGTTGGAGATAACCGAGACACGAGCCGGACTCGTCTCGGGGTCCGAGAGTTGAGGGGAAGTTGGAGGGTATGTCTTGAGTGTTGGAGGAGCGTCGTCATTGACGATGGGACTAGTTGGCGAGCAGTGCACAATGTGTCTTGGCTCTTGATGATAGATTGACTCTTTCACTCCGTAGCTATGAGTTCACTAAGCCAGAGCAGCAAGGTCCTGTAAATATTAGTCAACTGCATCTCGATCGTTTGTCAAACTCACAATAAAGACCTGATAAGAATCCCACTTGTATCCCCACTCAGACTCGACCGGAGTCAAATGTCCTCTCGAGGAAAAGACAAGAGTCTTGGTTTGTCCGTCTAGCAACCCTAGATCTACGGACCCGTGGATCTCGACCTGGTCGGGGTTGTTACCGTATGGGGATGCGTCGCGTATCGTGTGCTTACGCCACGAAATAGTCGCCCACAGGGCCTCCATCGCGGTAGTGATTTCTTCCCCAGTTAGCAATTTACCACTGTATCTAATCCCCGAGAATACAAACCTGCTTTCCCCTTGCATGGCTGCGAGTCTAGGACAAAGGCCGCATCCTCGGTGAACATGTTGACGTATTCCGCTGTACGTTCCCGGATATCGGACAACTTGAAGTACTCGTCCAAGAATCGATGCACCCCATCATCAAGCTTGGCCTTTGTAGATCGCTGTGGCTCCATGGTTGCGTCAAGATGGGAGGGGTTGGAAACTATTGGTGGTACAAGGAAAAGCAGGCTAGGCTGGAATCTGCACTGCTGAAACCCCTCATCCACGACTCCACACGGCTTGCAGTGGCAACGCCTTATTCACGCAATTATGCTTGATCATGTCTTATCGTATTTGTGCATTATTGAGAGCGATTGAGGCATAGCTTGTTAAGCCTCTACCACGGAAATTGGAGTCCACTCGAAGGCTGAACGCCTTTGACGCGATCCAAACGTTGGCTCAACGACCAGACTCGTCACCCCGTAACCGACACCTTCGGCAGCCGGGTCTCAGACAAGTGCCACGCCAAAAGGGGACTACTTTTCAATGCAGGCCATGCAATTGGATAAGCTTATCTCTTGGGTCCAGGGCTCACACGGCGCGAAGGATCTCGGGGAGAGATTGTTGGCCAGCTCGGCTGCTCGTGAACCAATAGCTCCGCACCAAACCTTGGTTCTTTGCGGTCTGGATGCAACCCCACGGGGGAGTCTAGCCAAAGCCAGACCTTGCCTTTTCCCCGCTTCCCCAGATCCTTACTCGGTCCCCCGGGAAATCCGGGGTTTGAAGCATAAAGGGATGCCGTGGGTGGATGCCGACATGGATGTTCCGAGGAGCAAGGTCTTGGGTTCTGGGCAAGAGGAGAAAGGTTTATATCTGTCGTAGTCTTCCTTGCAAACGAGTCGTGATCATCAGGGCTCTTGCTCGATTCATACTCACCCACCGCTCTTGAACTTCACTCACCATGAAGCCGTCTACGGAGCATCGCGATACCATTGAGACACACAATGACTCGGCTTTGCAGCATGCTGCTGAGAAGGGTCAGGTCGCTACCGACAAGTACGCATTCTTTTCATTCTCACGTCTTCATCTCTGACGCGTCGTAGATATGGCCAGCCTCTAGTCGAATATGACCCCGCCGCAGAGCGTCGTCTGTGCCTCAAGATCGACCTTCACATTGTCCCTACGGTTGCAATTCTTTACCTGTTTTGCTTCATCGATCGAGCCAATATCGGTGAGTAAAGTCAAGCCATGAAAAAGACGTCGGCCTAACACCTTCTAGGTAATGCAAAGATTGCCGGCTTCGAGAAGGACCTTGGAATGACAGGATACGACTACAACATCCTCATCACCACCTTTTACATCTCGTACATCGTCTTCGAGATCCCCTCCAACATCCTCTGCAAGTGGATGGGCCCCGGTTGGTTCCTCCCCATCATAACGTTGCTCTTCGGCATCGCATCTCTAGGCACGGCATTTGTCAACAACATGTCCCAAGCTGCTGTTGTGCGTTTCCTGCTGGGCATTTTCGAAGCGGGAATGATGCCTGGTATCGCTTACTATCTTTCCCGATGGTACCGACGTGCTGAGCTTGTTTTCCGTCTTTCGCTGTACATCGTCATGGCACCGCTTGCAGGAGCTTTTGGCGGTCTTTTGGCTTCGGCAATTCTCAGTCTTGACCATTTTGCCGGTCTTCATCGATGGAGAATGATTTTCGCCATTGAAGGAATCATCACGATCGGTCTCGCTGTGATCGGTTTCTTCACCCTTACCGATCGACCAGCCACAGCTCGCTGGTTGACACAGGAAGAAAAGGACCTTGCGATCGCCAGAGTCAAGTCTGAACGCGTTGGAAGCACGGCAGTTCTCGACAAGATTGACAAGACCAAGCTTAACCGCGGACTTTGGTCTCCTATCACGCTCAGCACTTCCGTCATTTTCTTGTTCACCAATATTACGGTCCAGGGCCTTTCATTCTTTTTGCCAACGATTATCAAGACCATCTACGAGGACAAGACGACGATTCAGCAGCAGCTTTACACCGTTCCTCCGTATGCTGTCGGAGCATTCTTCACTTTGTTCTTCCCCTACCTGAGCTGGAGGATGGATAAGCGACAAATCTTCTTCATCATTACTGCTCCGATTTGCATGATCGGTTATGCCATGTTTCTGGGATCAAAGGACCAGATGGTCCGCTACGGCGCAACCTTCCTCATCGCTTCGTCTGTCTTCTCACATGGAGCCCTTAGCAACGCTCAAGTTTCGGCAAACGTGGTCAGCGATACGGCCCGCAGCGCAGCTATTGGTATGAACGTCATGTTGGGTAACATTGGCGGCCTGGTCTCGAGTTGGTCATTCCTCCCATGGGATGCACCCGATTTCCACATTGGAAACGGCCTAAACCTGGCCACGTCTGGTACCATTCTTGTCCTTAGCTCTGCGACTCTTTGGTGGATGATGAGAGATAATAAGAAGAGGGAGACCTGGAATATTGAGGAGGAACTCAACGGCTTGACTCAGGAGGAGATTGAGGACTTGGACTGGAAGCATCCTGCATTCCGCTGGAAGCCTTAGGCTTCACTTTCAGCATGTGCTATATGGCGGCACATATTTTTCTGACTGGTTCTCATCAGCCGATCGATCCACCGGAGTTGGTTCTGAAGTTCAGATGTTACATAATACGACTCCCTTATAGTATGCCTCATGCACTATCACATGTGACCATTGCACTTAATGTTGATTGCAAATATCTAACCCGGAAGATCAAGCGACTAGGAAGATTAACTGAACTATAGCGTGATTGTGTGCCACTGAAGTTGCTATCTGTAAACTGAGGGGGGCAATCCACCCTGGTCTGCCCAAGAACGAGCTGTGGTTGACTCTACCTAAATTAACCATCGAATAGGGAGGAGGCGCATGTCCTATAGGCTGTGTGGATACTTAATGGCTGTCTCAGGACAAGCCAGTGGTGTTAGAAGCCAGCGAACTGCAACCTTTCCCTCTACGGCATACCCAGCCTCTATGAGCAGTGAAAGCTCTATGGGATCTGGGATCGCCAAACCCAGATTTGTTTTCTGTGACTCGCTGAGACCACTTGAGATATTCCCAGGGAGTTAAGGAACGCCGAACGCAAAGGATAAAGTCTGAACGGCAAGTCTCGATAACTGAATCCGCACCGAGGTGCTGTCCACATTTCATTACGAGAACGTGTTTCTCCACTGAGACTGCTCTTTGGTGGAAAGATTGATTACCTCCTTTCCGTGGCCGATTACTTCATTTGGAGATGTCATTAATGACAGGAAGTAGATAGTTGCTGGTGACATGGGGGTTGAAAGCGACCGTCAGCAGGATGCCCGAGGAACGCGCGCTCGGTTGCGCCATTACCGCCAATACAATGACCATGCGGCCGAAAGTCCGTCTCCGAGTTGAAATCAGTGTACATGATTATGATTGGGTCAAAATAGTTCTTGTTTGGGAATGCCGAAATAGCCAAGCGAGATTGGGCTCAAGTTCCGCGGACATCGCCAGCCCTGTCCTCTTGCCAAGATCAGGCTGTGAAGAAATACGATATCACAGGCTGCTTTGAAACACAATCCTAGGCCATATGGTGGCATTGCAGTTCAGCTTCTGTACAAGAGTGGGAGGTAAGATGACCAAATAACCCAATTGCAGGCAAGAAAAGAACAGAGAAAGTGAGTTGTCAAATGGGGCATTTGTGATGGTGTCGTGGGGGGCTGAACCGTCTGATGATTGGGATGGGGCAGCTATCTAATAAGACGGTTCTGGGTCGCAATCTCGTGAAAGTTGTTTCTTTGCTTACAGGCATGGCATAGCTCGAGCAACCAAAGTCTCTTTTCCGCCTATACCTACCCTCCAACACGTTCCTCCCCTGAAATTTCACTCGACCTGATGACCATGGAGGAAGAAACGACCCCTGTCAAAAAAGCTCAGGAACAGGTGATTCTCGAGACAAACCCGTCCGGCATCGACAAGCTGGCCCCGGAGGCGACTCTTGATGAACCATCTGCCGATGATTCCGTCGAGGCCAAGAATACGGAAAGCGGGACCCGTTTGCACAAGCTGCTTTTGATAATGGCCAAAAATGATGAAGAGCCCACAAGCGAGGACGGTCTTGGCGAGCTCAAGCGCTTGTTGGATGGCGGAGCTCAAGTCAATGCTAAAGACGCCGATAGCGAAACGGCTTTACATCTTGCAGCTGCGAATGGGCTTGTCGAGGCAGCCAAGATGCTCATCGAGTTCAAGGCAGAAGTCTCGGAACCAGACAACGAGGGCCGACAACCTCTACACAGAGCCTGTTCAGAGGGACGCGCCGAATTGGTACAATTGCTTCTAGACAACGGAGCCGACATCAATGCCAAGCAAAACAAGAAGGCCAGTCCGCTCCATGAAGCTTGTTGGGCAGGACATATCGAAGTTGTCAATATACTTCTTGAAGGGGGCGCCGATACCCAGATCACCGAGGAAGATGATTGGACCCCCCTACACGCGGCAAGTCGGTACGGCCACACAGAGGTAATTCGAGCTCTTCTTGCAAAAGGCAAGACCAACATCAATGCTCAAGAGGCGCTGGAAGATTGGACCGCACTGCACGTGGCTATCTACAATGGATACGCTGATGCCGTTTCTGTTCTGCTGGAAGAAGGGGCGAACTTTGGCATCCAGGACAAGGATGACTGGACACCATTAATGACAGCAACAACACAGAAGCAAGAAGACATTGTGAGAAAGCTACTCGACCAGAATGGACACCTTGAGCTGGAGGCACGCAAAAGATCGCTTGAACTAGAGACACGCGACAAATCAGGGCGCACGCCTCTCTTGACGGCAAGCATCAATGGTTTCTTGGCCGGTGCGATTCTGCTGATCGAGGCGGGTGCAGATTGCAACTTCCAGTCAGACAGGACCAAAGCAACGCCACTGATAGCTGCTAGCGGTTGGCGTTATAGAAGAATAGTCGAAGCTCTACTTAAGGACAGTGGCCGGACAGACATCAACACTCAGGATGAGGATGGGTGGGCTGCTCTGCATTTTGCTAGCAACAAGGGCCACAGCAAGGTAGTCGAGCTTCTTCTACAGCATCATGCCAATCTCCATCTAATCACAGATGACGGGCAGACAGCTTTGCATTTAGCAAGTAAGATGGGCAATGAGAATGTTGCCAAGCTGCTGCTAGAGATCGGGGCGGACGTGGATGCAAGAGACCAGGACGGCAAGACAGCGCTGCACCTCGCCAGTGATGCTGGCCCTGAGGATTACAGCGAGCAGGAAAGTGATGAGCTAGGCCCTGATGATCTCAGCCCTGAAGAGAAGGAGAATGAGGAATTTGGCTCCGGCCGGCATGATGCCGTAGTCAAGCTCCTTCTGGAATCGGGAGCAAGACCAGACGCCAAAACCAACAAGAATGAGACGGCGCTGCATCTTGCTGCATCCCGGGGCGACCCAACTAGACTGGACCTTATTCTATCATCTATGGAACAGAGGGACATGTCAACAAGAAACGACCAGGGGAGGACTGCTTTCTACTTGGCCTGTACTGCAGAGAACTGGGAAAGCGCTGTCGAAAGCCTTCTCAAATCGGACAAGTTGAGGACTGCAGAGTTTGGTAGAAGCGATGGGGAGGATGACGAAATCAAGTGGGCCGCAAACTATCCGGAAACTCATGAAGTCGCGAAATGGCTCATGGAGGAAAGGTGGAAGCGAAAAAAGACAGTTAAGCCTGAAGGATCAGACAACTGGGGTGTTATCGAGTGGGCGGCATATAGCCGGCTCCCCGAGGTACTCTCACTACTCCTCACTAAATCTCCGAGAAGCTCGAAGATTCAGGCGTTGCTGAAATCGATGCTGGAATCCGTGCTGGAACCAAAGCCAGAGTCAAACAAGCAGCCTGCAAATGAGCTCAGAGAGGGCACAGAGCAGAACAGGAGCTACGAAGTTCTCTCGCTGCTCATAGCCAGCTCTCCTCAGACGCCTAGTCTCAAGGCGGAACTGAAACCCGCCTTGAAGAAGACATTGGACTTGGCCCTAGGTAAGGAGGTAAAGCAGGGGGAGGGGCATCGGCGGCTTCTCCAGGTACTCTCGCAACTCGTCGCTACGTTTTCTGGGACTTCTGAGGTTGATGCAGCGCTGAAATCAACCCTGGAGTTGGTGAAGAAGCCAGGAGAGGGGACTACATACGAGCAGCTTTCTCAGGTACTCTGGTTGCTCATCTCGAACTCTCCCCGGACACCTGATATTGACGCCGCGCTGCAATCTGCCCAGAAGTCAATCTCGGAGTTGGTGGGAAGTACAGAGAAACGGCCACAGGACCCCGAATCGGCTTCAACACAGCCGAAAGCCCCCAAAGCCGAGGCCGGGGCACCTGCGCAAAAGGGCAAGACCAAGGATCCAGGGACGACCAAGCTTGGGCGTGGGGTGAGCCAGATGACCGTGCCAACCGCACCGACTACACGGACAGGAAAAGACAAAATCGACTACCTACATGCCATCATAGATATCCTACGAGACCCTCCATTTTCTCAAACGCACAAAGACAGCAAGATTGACGGACCGCCAAAGCACAATGACAAACTGTCGGAGACACTGGAAGACCATGAAGCCACCATCGTGCAGTTTTACAAGGGTGAGGGCGAGTCAGGAACATTGCGAAGATATCGATCGTTGAAAGAAGTCATTTATGACCACGGGCCGGGGAATATTATGGAAAAGACTATCTCGGACCTGAAGAAGATCCTTGGGGGCAGATCTGAGCTTGCAGGTTCCATCGTATATCTCAACACTGAGCCCAAGTTTACGTGGGTTCATCTACCAGCAACGAATGTGAGTGGAAGGTGGGCTACGTACGCTTTGCAGAGTTGCCACTAACCTTTGCCATAGATGGTTTGGATGAATGTGAGAAACCTTGCACCAGCATCGGCGTTGTTCCGCGACACTTTAACACGAAAATAAAAGCGTACAATATTTGCTGACCAACGCTGCAGGACATCTTGCTGAGGATCATGAATGACGAGAAATGCGAAGGGGGCCCGTACCACGAGCTCAAATCATTTTTCCGAGACAGTTGGGTTCAGGTGCCGGATAGAACATCTTCATCGAGAAGCATGAGGCCGCGAACTGTGACAAGGCGACAAGAGAACGAGGTCAGCGGGAAACAAGGCAATCTCAAGAATGAAGAAGAGGAGAGAAGCGACAAAATCAGGAGAGAGGAGAAGAAGGGGGAGGAAGGGGATCAAAAGAGCAAGAAAGAGGGAAAGAATGAAAAGGGAAAGGAAGAAGAGGGAAAGAAGGAAGAGCGTAAGGATGGAGGAAAAGAGTCTCCCAAGGCAGATGATAGGACTGAGCCCGAGGAGGATCGACGAAAGAAGAACAAACCCGACTTCGGAGCAGCATCAGCCACTTACGTAAGTCCTGACCATAGCCAATTTTGTTCATTGATTCTGATCCATCACGACAGATGCCTTACTTCTGTTTCTCAACTCAACACCGGGACGAGGCTGGCTTGCGTGGAGGCCAGAAGAGGTTCACCGACATGAAAACGGCCTACGAGGACTTGAACGACGCTAAAAGCCCCGTCATTCACGAATCACCAACCCTGGATGAATGGTACTATCACTTTGCAAGCGACGAAAAGTCTATGAGGGACAGGAATAGCCGCAACAGAACACAGGTTGTCACCAAGGCTATAGCAGCAGGCAAGGGCACCAAGATCAGTGAAAAGAATGAACCAAGCCAATGGACACTGCTCCGGGTCAATCAGCTATGGGTCTGGACAATTGCAAACAGTATGTTCTACCTTTTGTTGAGGGGGGGGGGGGCGAGGTTCTCCTTGCCCGACGACGTGCTAACGAATTTGAATCTCTAGAATGGCTCATTACCGCCACCTCTTGCTTGTTCGATGATAGCAATGGCACGCTGGTGGAGGGGATTCTCGAACAGCTAGGCAAAGAGGTAGAAGCTGGAGGGAGTGCGTCTCAGCCAGAGACGGCGTCTGATATGAGCAGGTTTGTTGTTGACTACTGCATCGGCACTTATGAGAGACTTTCGAAGCTTGAGAAGCCAAATCCTAAGCAGTCGGAGCCCGAGGAGGCGACGCCTGGGGAGCCGAAACCTCAGGACCAAGGTTCTATCCGACAACTATTTTCTGACACCATCAACCAAATTGTTCGTCACGCCCCCTGAGTGTAATAGTTGGCAACTAATGAGTTGACAGGGAAGGGATGAAGCAAACCTCTTCAATGAGTTCAGGAACCAAACGAAAAGATGGCGTTTAAGCGAGCCGGACAAAACGGCGAAAGATTTCACCTCCCCAGGGGATGAAGACTCACCTAAATGGTCACTCAAAGCTTTCCTCAAAGCTTCACTCCAAGGTTCACCCAAAGATTTACTCAAAGTCTCACCCGACAAAGCATCCGAGGGACCATCCCAAGGCTCAACCTATGAGGAAATCAGACTCGCTATCAAGAAAGCAGAGGCGTTGTATTGCGACATCAAAGACATCCGCGATGAGCTCAATATTCTGAAATCAGCAGCCCAGCACCAAAAGACGGTTGAAGAGGGTTTGACTGGGGGGTCTCGGGATGTAGACCTCGCAGCGGCATACATTGTGAAAGATCTGAAAGAGATGGATAGCAGTGCCGAGAGAATACAGTCTGCTGTGAGTTTACTCGCCTTTCACTGACTAAAGACTCGAAGTGTACTGATGTTTTGGGAATAGATCAACACGACCCTTTCGCTTCTGCAGAGCGAGAGTGCGAACCTCCAGGCCACGCTTTCGCTCAAGCAAAGTAAGCTTTCGAATTACCTCGCGAACCTCGCAACGCGGCAGGGAGAGGAAGCAAGGAGGCAGGGGAAAACGCTCATGGTCTTCACTCTTGTTACCATTCTCTTTGTGAGTTGCACCACATACCAAAAAAGTTTTGTTCGTTCATATACTAATAACGATGTCTAGCTGCCACTATCTTTTCTCTCCTCCATGTTTGCATTGGATGTTGCTTCTTTTGAGCAGGCTCCTGGCTGGGCCTTTGCTGTAATTTGTGAGTTTCCACGAACGATGCGTCTTCTCCTGAGATACCCATTATTAACTATGACTACTAAAGTTGCTGTATCCTTGACATTTTTTGTCATCGTGGCGTGGGCTGCTTGGCGTTGGGCAAGAATCAGTCCAGCTGAGAAATCCACCACGGCTGGGTCAGAGTCTACAAAGGAGGAGAGCGTCGACAAAGCTGAGGACAAGGGCACTGTGGAGAGTAGTACCGAGCCAGTGACTAGCAGCACTGACATCCACCAGCTACCATTCTTTTCTTGTCTTACGGGACGTCTACGAAGAAGGCAATCGGATGAAGAGGTGGCGAGAAGGGGGGGCATTACTCATAGGAAATGAGGTGGCTTTGTCAAGTTCTTATGTGGCCCTAGCATATTGTTCTGCAAAAAGATGTTTGCGTTAGCCTAGGTAGTTTCCATGTTGCTGGGCCTTTATATATTTCGTCAAGCGTTGTTCCTCACATGGGTTAACGTCGGGTCAGGATGTTATGATGTGTTGAAAATCTGTTCTTTATTATAGTTTCAATGGGTTGACTGAACTCGAAGATCGTTCCTCACATGACACAGTACGCATCTAACGATGCATAGGTAGCTGGAGGGGCCGGTGAGCTTCCCATTGTCCGTCGGATGCCATCCTTCGGATCCGGGGTAGTCATAAATGTGGGTTGCCAACAGCCTTAAAAAGGCGTGTCTGCTGTTCTATAAAACGTCCCAACTGTTCCCCCTTTAACGGAGTAACTTGGACACCCAAATCAGAGTTGCTTGATTAATAATTCCTGAGATCGGGAATGGGTACCCCGTTGCTCCACGTTCCCCAGACCTCGGCGTTCGCCCGAGGACCAAGCGAGGCCCAAGCTAATGCAGCAAAATGCGGGGACGTCAAGCATCGGATCCGGGGTAGTCCTAAAGTCGGATTGCCGACGGTCTTAAAAAGTTCGCGTCCGCTCCCTTTCAAACACACCAATTATTCCCCCTTCAACATGGAATCAGAAACCCCGAGGCTAGTATTACCAACGACCCCTCCTAGAAGTCAGAGAGGCTCAAAGAGAGTTCAAAGAAGACGTCGGAGGATACAGACGGCTTGCAAGAGCTGCCAAGACCGCAAGACGAGATGTGACGGGAGTCGGCCGGCTTGTTCGGCTTGCCATAGGCGAGGCGTTGCAGTTGAGTGTATCTACGAGAACTCGCCCGCTTCTGCAAGGTATCTCAAGCTTTTAATTCTACTATTACTTTACTGAGTGTTTCTAGCTATCTCTCTGCTTTGGAGCAGCGACTGCAAAGGCTTGAACAGCGGCAGGATGTTGAGCCGAGGCCGTCGCAACCAGGTCCGGATTCTGCCAACGAATGAGTTCTCGGTATTGACCTTGTTATAGTCGAACGTCGAGTCTCCCGCAATGATTCGATCCATGAGGATAGTGTCGCATCTCGAGAAATGCAGACTTCTCCAGGAACACAAGGCCCATACTCGCCAAACACATCTCGCTACGCCAGCAACGTCGATGGATTAGCCACAGTATCGACAACTACAGAAAACGAATGCATGTACGGCCCATCATCTACAATTGCATTTGTACAGTTTTGTAATGAGACAAATCGACAAGGGTCACTCCCAGAGGCAGAAGAGCAGGCCGATGAACAACCATCCGCAGCCATCCCAGAGGCCATTCGGGAGAAGGACCCTTTTGCTGCTGTATACCCACCGCGGAGGACAGCCGACGACTTTGTTCGGTGTTTCTGGGAATTCGTACACCCAGTCTTTCCAGTACTTCACAAGACAAGCTTTATGAGCAGATACAACCTTCTCTGGTCGGCGGACGAGAATGAGACAAGCAACGATACAATCTCGGAGATGGAGGAAGTGATCTTTTCTTCAACGCTAAATATTGTTTTTGCCATCGGATGCCGGTTCAGCGAGTCTGTGCCGGCTGCAAGTAGAGCATCGCTTGCCCAAACGTTTTATCAAAGATCTAGGTCGATATACCGCTTCGAGATTCTCGATTCCATGTCTCTTTCAGCTGTCCAGATGCTTCTTTTGACAGGAGTTTATCTGCAGTCTACTCAGCAAGCAACTCGTTGCTGGAACGCTGTCGGCCTTGCAATCAGAGCTGCACAATCATTGGGATTGCACGTCGAATCGCCAAATCAGTCACAAAGCCAGTTAAGCAGAGAGATGAGGCGAAGAGTGTGGCACACTTGTTTGGTATTGGATAAGTGAGTTTCTGGAAATAATTGCCTTTGCATAAACCGAGAACAATGGCTTACCATGACTAGGCTTCTTAGTATGACTTTTGGAAGACCAGCCATGATATCGAGCAGTTGGCACGTCCCACTGCCGTCTCTAATTGATGACGAATATTTATCCGCCCATGGCCAAGGAGAGCAGCCTCAAAACAGGCCTTCAAGACTGGGTTTACTCATCTGGTCTTCAAAATTATTCCTCATCTTGGATGAAATTCTCCTCAGCTTCTACGCTCCACATCCGCAAAAGACTGTTGATACCATGTCTGAGAATGATTTGAACGTGCAAAAGATCATCTCAGACATTATGGTGCTTAACAGGCGAATCGAAGAATTCTTCGAGTCGATTCCGGAATACTTACGGCTTGAGACTGGATCTGAGTTAATACCTGAGCAGCAGGAGCTGAGCGTTACAATTCAAAAACAGATCCTGAACTGCCGGCAAGATAATCCCTTACTGCAAAAACATGCGTTTCCCTAATTCACTGGGTAGATATCTGTACACGCGCGTCCTCTTGCTGAGACCATTACTACTCTTGACAACAAAATTCCCATCAAAGTTTCTATCCTCAACTCGATCCGCAGAAACCGTGGATATGAGTCTGGTCAGGAGATTCTGCAGCCTCTGCGTCGACACGGCTTTCCAGCTGATTGAGAACATCCACCATAATCTTGACACCAGCTATAGAAGTTCTGCATGGCACTCGGTATACTGTGAGGCTCTTAACTGCAATGAAGCCCTGGCTAGTTGCTAAACCTTTCCTAGTTACGTTTGCTTCGGCAATCACTCTTCTTGCTGCTCAAACCTGCCCTGCCGTAGACGCTGAGACTCTGTCTTCGTTCGAGCTCGCTTGGAGCCACTGTCTTGTAATCTTGGAGTATTACAAGGAACACATCCAAGCAGCAAGACGTGGCATATCAACACTTCAAGAGCTGAGAAGTCGTATGGACTTGTCACGTAGTCAAGGTACGTTGGTCGTCTTGGCAAGTAGCAGAAGCTTAATCCCTAACTTCGAACACAGGTTTCTCCAATTCTTCGCAAATAGAAGCGCCAACAGGAGCAGAAAATCAGCAGATGAATTCATTCGATCTGTCACAGTTTGACGCGATGGGGATTGACTCCGCACTTGGACTGTGGCTGAGCCAGGACATGGACAGCTTGGGCTGGTTAGAGTTTCAATAACGCGTATGTATTTTCATAATGCAAGATAATTCCCAAAGAATAATAGTCCTCGTCAACACCTCAAGTGTCTAGTTTGAGCAATGCTCATCCATCCCGCTTCCCAGCACCCGCAGGGCGCTCCAACCCATATTTACGGATAAACTCGTGAAAGGCGATCATGTCATAGGTCCCAATGCACTGAAGATAGGGCGAGTTCTTCCCCTCCTCAGTCCCGCCCACCTCTATAATCCTCTTAGATATGGTAGCTACTTCAGGAGAGTATCTAGAAACACCCAGCCATTTCCTATCATCAACAGGGATTTGTTGCATAGCTGCATCCCAGAGTGGGGTCCAACGATTCAGCGCCCTCAGTAGGATGTCGGAGGAACTGGCTGGTAGCATGGATGTGCGGTGGTTGAAAATCAAAGACTGGAAGCCTGTCCTCATTGTATCAATCTCGATCCACCCCAGTTAGTTGGGGTACCTACCTAGCATAATGTGATGCAGGTTGGGAGGACCCAGCTGATGAAAGGAGGCGGCAATGGAATCTGTCCACTCCTCACTTAGAAGAAGCGAAATAGCATGACTAAATGACGAAGGCGAAGAGGAGTCGGCTTGCATTCCACGCTGTGCCTCTTCGAATGCATCTTGAGATACTGCCTCCCAGAGTTCGTTCCGACAGGGGAGACTCCCGCACATCTCCTTGACCGTTATAGATGGAGGATGGCTGCAGAACAATGTGAGAAGGGAGTCATTGATAAAAGCCCACGTCACGAGCCGAATACGTGTTTCATGCTCAATGAACCGAGACCAAGTGGCTTTGGATGGCGGCACATCGTGGCTAAAGCCGACTAGCCCACCTCTTCTTATCATGGCCGCTACCACAGGGCTTCGCAAAGTGGCGGTCCTCTCCCGGGCTCCGCCTTGGTGAGTGCTCTGCAATGAGACGATGAGAACAGCTGCTTGGCAGATCTCGACATCTTCGCCTGAGGTGGTCAAGTCGATACTGGAATCCAGCCTCCTTTGAATCTCGGCAAAGATGTACATCTCGGATAACTCCAGTAGCGCCGCAGAGAGGGTGAATGTCGAGCCGACACGGTACTGCAAGTATGAGGTCCCGACAAGTGCCACGGCCAGCAAGAGGTGAGGCATGACCTTATTAGGGCTGAAGGTCGGCCAGTGGATAAAGGTGGCATAGTAGTGCCGTCGATGAAGGTAGGCATCCAGTGTGTTTTGGAAATGATCTGGACTGAAGAAGCCTGTCATGCAGCAGTGATCGAATTCGTCTTTGAGAAGTGGCTTAGATCCCACCAGGCCATGCAGCTGGGCTGCGATAGAGCTCACTCTGGCGGCCAAGACATCGGCTGAAATACTGAGGCTTAGGTCGAGGGGTATTTTGACGGTGTCATTATACATGCTTTGAGACTCTGGGATATCCTCAAGTATGCTGGAAAAGTCCAATAGGAGGAGTGCTGGGTCAATGGTCCCAGAGAGAGTGTTTGTGGTAGGTAGATCTCGTTTCCATGTCGTGGATGACGCAAGGTCCCTTTCAAGATCAGCAGCGACGGTGTCAAACATGGAGTCCCTGCTGGGGTCGGTAGAACGAAGGAGAAAAGAGAGGCTAAGGCGGTCATCTCGGACAGGCTCTGCCTCACTTTCGACTTGTGCTTGGGGTCGATGCGATGGGTCGTGACAGAGGGAGCTGTATCTGCAAGTGATGCCACGAGAAGAGCACCGCGCACACGGTAGTTCAGAGTCGCACGACACCTTTAACCTGGAGCAGCTATCACAGGCCCGAAGCTTCCTCCCGCGCCGGGCTTGGGGCGGCAGAGGCCGGCCTCCTCGGGCAGGACAGGTCCGGGCATGACGGCGGGCGACGTCGACTCTGCCAAAGGTGCGGTGACAAAAGGGACAGCCATGCTGACGGGCCGAGCGGGCGTCCGCCACAGGCCGCTGACAGACTTGACAATTGGACGGCATCTGATTTGCGGAGTCAAAGAGAGTGAGATTAAGGAGGGAGGTTGCGAAAGTGGCATGTGTGAATTCTCCGAGGCCTTCACCTCAAAAGTGGGTCCATGTGGTTATTTCCCGGCCGCCGACCGCGGACCCGATACGGACCCCGAAGATAAATAACCAGAAGTGGAATGTTGTGGTCCCGAGCCCGAGTGTTCTTCTCTCCTTCTATTTTGGACATTTGAAGCTTCTGGGAGTCAATTGGCCCATCATGGTTCGATTACAGGTGGCAAGATGTGAGTGACGGACCTGACTGTCTTCTACCCTGACTTACACGACTACCTATAGCTGCCCTTCGCCCATTGGCCTCGACGACATCATTGATCAGCTCCCGGCGACCGCTACAGCTGCAAGCAGCTTCGATAAGCCTTCCAATTGACCAGAAGCGAAGAAGCTCCAACAACGACAGCTCCCACCCTCACCCCGCCGCCTTGACTGCGGATGTGAAGCCAAGGGATGTTATGGAATATGCCTTGTTCGTACTCAATGCCGCCGATTTATCCCATCCATGTCTAACAAGCTCCCCTCCGCAGGACAACCCTCGACAAGATCGCAGCCTGGGCTCGCAATGGCTCCTTCTGGCCATTGACCTTTGGCCTGGCCTGCTGCGGTATCGAAATGATGCACGTGTCGATGCCACGGTACGACCAAGATCGTCTAGGCATCATCTTCCGAGCCTCCCCTCGACAATCCGACGTCATGATCGTCGCCGGCACAGTCACGAACAAGATGGCGACGGCCGTCCGGCTCTGCTACGATCAGATGCCAGAGCCCCGCTGGGTCATCAGCATGGGGTCATGCGCCAATGGCGGAGGGTACTATCACTACAGCTATAGCGTCCTTCGAGGTGTCGACAGGATCCTCCCAGTTGACATCTATGTTCCGGGGTGCCCACCGACTGCCGAGGCGCTGATGTATGGTGTGTTTCAGTTGCAGAGGAAGATTCGGAACACGAGGCAGTCGCGCATCTGGTATAGGAAGAGGTGAGCGAGGGGGGTTGTGTGTAGGGAGCTAGATCAAATAGAATGGGAATATATACACATAAGTTGTCAACTAGGTAAATCGAAGAATATCTCCGATAAAGAAATCCATTGAGGAGAACGGCTTCCCTACAGCTTCAAATTTTAATTTGTTCTACAGCTTTGTTTGGCACCGCACAGCGATTGGCTCACGCCCACTTCCCCTCTCGCTAGGCAATCACGAAAAGGCCTTAGTGTTTCAACGGGGAGTCGCCTGGCCTGACCTCATCAAGCTTCATTTCGTGATACAAGTATTTGTCTACGTGGATTCCTGGGACCCAAGAAGCCCCTGGTGAATGGCAGTATTCTTCCCAGCAATCAGGACCTGCTATTGCTTTCTTTCAGATATTAATGCCGGGGCTCGATGCCGCGCTGAATCAAAACTCTGTCTTTTGCTGTTATGGGTGACCTCTCTTGGAGGCGCTATTGACCAAAACACGAGTGTGTTCTTGTTATTGTAGCTGACGGTAAATTACGGTGATTATTTGAGAGCAACATTTACATCATTCGCCTCCGGGTATCGTGCCGTGTTGTGTCGTTGTTATTGCTTTTTCTTCGACAAAAACGCCCACTGGATTGGCGGGTGACTCGCAACACAGTCGCTGCCAACCCCCATCAGCCACACTCAGATGGACGCAATACTTTGGTACATGCTTGGAACAGATCAGGCTGCGAAGGAAGAGGCCACGTATCAGTCAGTGCCTATCTTTTAAAGGAGGCCGTTTCAAGCCGCGCTAGGTTGTTCAGGTTCCTCTCTCAATGCAATCTACAAGACCAACATCCTGAGGGGTTTCTTAGAGGCGGAGCAGATGTTTGCCCAGCTGGGCTGGAGCCGTTGGAATCTATACTTGCGGTATACTTCAGTAAGACAAACAGCTCCACGGCAAAGGATCGCCTCAGCTACAGGAAATTGGAGAGGGTGATGTGTCTTATCGAGGAAAAGAAAGAGCTTGCGAAAAGTAAACGTCTGGAGTTCTCTAGCCAAGCGAGCCGAGTTGTCTCAAAGAAGAGGTGCGAGATTGATGATGAAACGAAGGAAGAGACAGAAACTAAAGAAAAGAAAGGCACGTAACTCTTAGTTACATAGCTAGTTGGATAGTATTCTGGGATCTAGGGTCAATCACCCGACCTGACTGTTGAAGCTGATGTAAAACTTGCAGCCGGGTCGCCAGACTAGTGCTCGTCCCTGGTTCACGAGGCGTTTCGAGGTCTTGCCACAAGAAATTAAGTATAACATGATGTCACTTCTTTTCTCTGAGTGTGCCGCTCTTGACTGCAACTACCTGGCCCCGCAATCCTCTCAGAAGCAGCTATTTGCCAACATTTCATTTCTATGGGATCTCGACACCACAGCGATTGCTCAAAAACCACCTCCCTTTGGAGAGAAGGTGGGTTGGGATTGGGCAAGGCTTACACGCCATGTGCTTGTCCCGTGCAAGTTACACTTATGGAGGAAGGAAGAGACACCCGAACCGCCTGGTATCATGACCAAATTGGGCTTGTTTCTTCTGCTGGACTTAAGAATGGTCCGAGGATTTAGCAAGTCTCGGACGAGATGTTCCCAGAAAATGTGGAAGTGTATCTTTCTCTGGATGATCCTGGTGATTTGGAGTCTTTAGACTATGAATGGGATATAATATGGCTTCTCTGCTTCTTATCGCCAAGACAGATAGAACGCCACCATGTGGTTGCATCTTGGCAACTGCCGCGTTATGGGTGCAGGCCAAACTAACTTGGAAGCAGCCACCTGGCGGGCGATACCCGTCAAAGGAAGGATAGCAGGTGCGAATCGTCAAACGTAAATCTTCTCCTTGAGTCCTCTTTTCTTCCTGGGACATCACTCTTCAGCGATCGACCAGATACACACCATTCAGCATTAACTCTCCGCAATATCAACTCTACAGACCATCATCTTTCTCCCACACGGTACAATACCCGCGTCACCTCTCTGACGTCTACTAACAACAATTCAGATGTATCCCTACGATCGCCACGATCCCGACCGTCTGGCCGCTTGCGCCTCCCAAGCACAGGAAAAAATCGATAGTTTTGCACGCCAATACCTCGAGTTGCATCCGAACTCGGAGAAGCTGTCACCGCGTTCATTCGAATTGATCTTATCCAGCTTCATGGACCGAGTTAACCGAGACTGGGACGGGAGAATGGGCCGTGTTCCTACTCTTGACTACCACAACCCATTAGCAACGTCTGCCGTTATTGGTGTCTTTTCTCAGAAGCATCCGGATGAGGATCTGCGCGGTAAAAAGGCTCGACTCGGGGTTCAGGCCTTTGACCCTCAGCGACACAGAATTTACTGGGCGTACATGAATGAGCAGGGCACATACCAACCGCAATCAACTGTCGAATTTGGTTTTGGCCATACCTTGGAAACAGCGCGCAAAGCCGCTGCGGAAGCCTATGACAAGGCCGAACACGAAGCAGTCCGGCAACATAACATCAATCTGCTCATTTATATGGCCAGACGAGAGTTGCTGGTCGCCAAGGGCAGACGTATGCCAATGGACTATGGCTCCCCGCTTGTGACGGAGATTAATGTATCGTGGATGCTCTCGTTGGGTCGGGACTTTTTGACACACATCACGGCACATTCCACTGATTACAGTATAGACAATTGGTTTTGAAATTGTTTATCTTTGTTGAAGGCGAGGCTGTGTTGGGTTTTGGCGTCGAGGGCTATTCACGGGATGGATATGTCATACTCTGGGCAGGTTTCGAATGAGTCGATACGTCTCTTGAACAACACAGAATAGAGACTATTGACCTTCAAGCATGTCTGTCTTGGCCGGTCTTGAACAAGTAACCGTTCTGTCATTAATCGAAACAACCAACGTGATCAGAACATGGCTGGGAAAAGAAACCGGTCAAAATCAGAGTAATCCAGACTTGACAAATCCCCTGCCAAACTATTCAGCCACCTCATATCATCCATCTGCTGCGGCGGCAACTCAGCCTGCGCCTCTTGAAGCGGAGCGACAGGGAAAAGCTTGAGAATGTCGTTGAGATCTGAGGCGCACTTTTCCTTGCGCTTCTGATGCATAAGTATGAGGAGCGATGCCGTGTTGAGAGCTTCTCTTGTAGCATCCGTGTTGTAGACTGTTGCCACATTGCTGAGACACTGCATTGCGTCTTTGAGTTGGGATATTGAGGAGACGGTGTCGATGGCCAAGAGGACGCAGACGACTTGGAAGGGTACGTTGGCCATGTGGTGCCATGGCGAACGGGCGTCAAGAATGGTTTGAGAGGCTTCTATGCCTTTGGCGGTAATGGAGAGGATCTGGTCGAGCATTGTGCCGGTGAAGGAAGTGTTCATGAACTGTAGTCGACGACAGAGACATAGCGTGAGATTGCACTGGGCGAGGATCGACGGAGGGACAGAGTGAACACGGCTCAATACAGCCGTTAGCGATGATTCCAGGTCAGAGGCCGCGGGTGCCTTTTGAGGATCGAGGTCTGCCGACAGAGGGAGCAGCTCCATCAGCTCGACTGTAAAGTCTCCTGGCCTCACAGACGGCATCTCCATGGTCGCGTTGCAGAGCGCCACTCTTGACCGTCCCATATCGTATGAGATCCAGATGTTGAGGTGCTGCGCGACGGCGAGTAGCCTCCTTCGCATTTCTACGTCGACTTCGGGCGCCGGTGATGGAAGGACGGATTCATCTGATGGATCCCAGTGTAGACCGGCTGCTTCGACGAGGTGCATGAGGGTGCAGCTAGCCATCCAGGCTGTGTGGGGGGTTCCCACTGCGCGGAGGTACACGACGCGAAGGATCCACGCTGTGACGTCGATCGCGGACGGGATGTCGGACATTGTCTGCTCGAGTAGGAAGCGTGCTGACTCTACCAGGTCCAGCTCCACGGGCATGGGTTCGGTCTGGGAATGTAGACAGCCGAGAGCAGCCATGCCGCAAAGGACAGCATCATAAGACTGACCTTCGCCGACGGTCCATCTGCTCTCAATATGTTGCTGTATATCTTGATGGTCGATGAAGCCATAGATCGTGTCCACCTTTTCATAGTAGACGGCCGCCAAGCTCTGCATGTCCGCCTGGGATAACATGTCGGTGATTGGTCGACAAACAGGAGGAACCCCCGTCTTCCGGGCCCCGAGAAAGGCATTCCAAGCGAACGTGTGCATCCGAGGTGCATTCTTGGGATCCAACCTCAGGGCCAACCTCCGTAAGAACGCGGCCCCAGAGTTTGCCTCTAGCGATCGGAGGTGATTAGGTGACGAGGTTGTGTGCGGACTACGCAAAGTTTGAACCTCTTGAGCCGGGGAAGAGTGTACTGGTTCATGACTCTGCTCTGTCCTCCTCCTCCTAGGTCCTTTGTAGATGCACTCATACTCGAAGCGTACACATGCCGCACATGGCTGAGAACCATCGCACTTGCGTTTGAGATCCCTACACGTTTCGCACGCGAGCTTTGAGCGTTTGCGACCCTGTAGCGGAGGCATTGTTTTCGGTAGTTGGAGAAAAGTTGAAGTGACGTTTGTTTGGGGGGGCTGGGGGGCTGACCAAGGGCGGGTATGTCGGTAATAACGGGTATCACGGGAATAGAGGCGTCATCGGCAGAAACGGGATAGAGGCGCCGAGGCCAAGAGTGACGAAGGGCGTGGGTGACTTATAAGAAGAGGGGAAGCCGATCTATCTCGTTGGTTCAATTGACATTGGAAACATGATATCATTCATTATGAGACGTCAAGAAAAGGAACCAGCATCTGGCGATGACCTCTCAACCGACCTCGAGCAGTCACTTCAAGACACAACCCCGACTCCCGATCCCAATCCTCCTCCCGACGGAGGCTTCAAAGCATGGCTACACGCAGGGCTCTTGCATATTGTCTTTTTCAACACATGGGGCGTGGCGAATGGCTACGGAATCTTTCAGCAATACTACTCCCAAACACTTACTGAATCCGCGTCGTCCATCTCGTGGATAGGCGGTCTTCAGATCTTTCTACTCTTCTCCGTCGGAGTCATTACAGGCCGTTTGACCGATGCAGGCTACTTTCGTCCCATCTTTGCCTTTGGCGTGTTTCTACAGGTACTGGCCCTGTTCATGACCTCGCTTTGTACCACGTACTGGCAGATCTTCCTGGCGCAGTCTGTCTGTCTGGGTCTGGGAAACGGTTGCACATTTTGTCCGGCTCTGGCTATTCTCTCTCAATATTTCAAAAAGTATCGAGCCTTTGCTGTCGGTCTTGCTGCCGCTGGCGCGGCAGTTGGCGGCCTCGTCTACCCTGTCCTAATCAACTGGCTCATCTTTTACGACAATGTCGGATTCCCCTGGACTCTGCGAACCATGGGATTTGTCATGCTCGCAACATATATACCTTGCTTGATCTGGTTCGAGCCTCGACTACCGCCTCGCAGAAGCGGACCATGGATCGACAAGTCGGCTTTCACTGAGCTGCCCTTTATCCTCTTTTCCATGAGCATGTTTTTCAACTTTTGGGGGCTTTACTTTGCATTCTTCTACCTTGGGACGTATGCCCGCGATCAAGTTGGCATCTCGGAGCCTATCTACCTGCTAATGATCCTTAACGGCGTTGGTATCTTTGGGCGTATCGCGCCTAGTCTGATTGCTGATAAGTGGACTGGAATGCTCAACGCACTCATTCCGTTGAGCTTCTGCTCGAGTTTACTAGTGTACTGCTGGGCCGCAGTAAAATCCACCGGCGGACTGTACGTATTTGCAGTCATTTACGGCTTCGCCGCCGCGGCTCTACAAGCCCTCTTTCCAGCTGTGGCCACAACCATGACGCCGGATCCGAGCAGAACAGGTACGCGAGTGGGAATGATTCTTGGCATTGTTAGTTTTGCGAATCTAACTGGTCCGGCTATTTGTGGTGCAATCATCAATAAGTCGAATGGGAGGTATTTGGAGGCTGAGATGTTTGCCGCATCTTCCATTCTAGTAGGCGCTTTTATGGCGTTGGCGGCGAGGATTGCGAAGACTGGCTTCGTGTTAAAAGTAAAAGTCTGAATTTTATGGATTAGATTAAATAGACGAAGCCCTCTGTGGGTTAGATGTAAATAATTCAAGATATTATCATACCATTATCCGCATTGTTGTCATGAACTATCCCGGTGGTCTGCAAAGGAGGCCTCGTCGTTATGACAGACAGTGAGGCAACTCTCTCGCGCCAATTAAGCGCTGGCTTAGACTGATATGGAGTCATATTGAACTTTGGTCTGTGGCTGCATTTAATTACTATTTTAATCCTTGATTGACGTCAGCGTAAGCGCACCATGTTTCTTCACTGGGATGAATTATCTCGTATCCACCCCCCCTGCAATCGCCAGGTTTTGAGCTAACAAGGCAACAGAATATTCGACTAATACCATGTCCAATCTCTAGAGACGCAGCTATTTGTAGCACAATCAGGTCCCTTTCGATTCTGCTGTTCGTGTGTATAAGTACTACGAGTTTGGTCTTGGAGTATAGCCATGCCATATTGTCACCTCTACATCTAAGCGAGCGAAAGGAGCTTCTGTCGAGATCAACGCGAGATCAAGCTCTCTTTGCATCTCAACATGGCTTGGTCCAAAAGCGAGATTGCGTGCATGGCACTTGCAAGCCCCATCATCGTCCCCGTATACGCCGTTTGCTGGATTATCATGAGATTCAAGGATCTTGCAGAAGCGACTTTGGCTTACCTCTTCTATTCAGCCTGGGGAGATCTCATTCACTTCATCGCCACATATTGGATACGATTTGGTCCTCAGAAGCGACTAAGAAATGAGATCCTCCGGAAGCAAAACGCGACGGTATTCTCACCTCTATTCCCAGGCGAGACAAGACTATTAAAGCTATTCCCCCGCCATCACTGGCCAGACTCTGGCATATACTGCGAGGTGGTTTCGGTACCGAGACGAGAGATCCAGTACGAAGTCCTTTCGTATGACTCCCGAGACAAGGAGTTGTGTCACACTATCAAGGTTGACGGCCATCATGTCATGGTCACAGATCATCTATACTTAGCTTTACAACACCTCCGGGCTAACGACACACGCAACCTATGGATCGAGGACTTGTCGACTGATAGATCCGACAATGGAAGAAAAGTCAATCAAGAGGATAGGGAGTCCATCCTTAGAGATGCCTTCCAAGTCATTATCTGGCTCGGCGCCGCGCCGAGAAAGCTAAAACGCCTTATCCCCCTGTTCGACGAATCTCCCAGCGTTGCTTTCGAAGACGATTCGGGATCTACGGCACAAATCTTTTCAAAACTACTCATACGTCCTTGGTGGAATCGCCTTTGGTCAGTTCAAGAACTCGCATTGCCACCAAGAGTTATTGTCCAGTGCGGCCGACATCGCATCCCTTGGGCCAACTTCGCTCAAACAATCGAACTGTCATATATCGATTCCAATCACTCGACTGAAACTTCCCGAGCGAGGGCCATGGCTCTTGCACGCACCAAGTACCAGTCAGACATCACTTACGAACACGGACTGTTGAGCCTAGCCTGGAATTTCCGCCACAGTGAGGTGGACGACAATCGAGACAAGCTGTATGCTTTGCTGGGGCTGCTGCCCGACGAGGAGCGAATTGTCAAAGTCGACTATTCAAAGAATGCTGACCAGGTTTACATGGACTTTGTCCAGGATTGGATAAATCATCACGGGAGTCTGTTGATCCTCAATCTGACCCAGCGACAACAAAGAGGACAGCACTCCTCCTGGTATCCAAGATGGTCTGAACCTTTTGGAGACTATCCCCAGTTCTTTTGCGGCTCTACGTTCAGTTTGCACTCTCATGATTTCTGGGAAGGCAAATTCTCTGCTGATGGAGGTCGCCGTGCCCCGAATTGCATTCATCCCGAAGATAGACGCTTGCTACGGCTGCAAGGCTTTTCTCATGATACCGTCGCTGCGGTGGCATCCTCTACGTATGAACCTCAAGGTGGAGCTCACACCAGCTGGGAGGAGTGCAGAAAGTCGTGGTGTGAGTTTGCTAAAACTTGGTTACCGGATCATCGAGAAGGAATCAGTCAGGAGTTCTGGCTTGCTATAACGGCCGGTCTGGTTGATTCAGAGTCCAGCAGTATCAACTATGAATCAGTCCAGCGAGCAACTTGTGAGCAACGGCGGCTTTTCATAACACAGAATGGTCAGCTTGGAGTTGGGCCAAGTGCGGTGGCTCCAGGAGATAGGGTTTGTGTCGTCTTTGGATCACCAGCCCCTTTTATACTATCCGAGTGCAGGACCTGCAACGACGACACAGGCAACAATCAAGGTTCAGACTTCGTGTCCTCTCAAACCTGGCGATATGTGGGCGATGCATACGTGCATAGCATCATGCACTACGCAGGAGATGTTGAGGATGATGTGAAGACGGGAAGACTATATGTTGAAGACTTTCAACTTTGTGGATAACGAGCATACTTGGAGGGCAAATAGGTAGTTTACATGTCAAGCTTTCGGTTCAACTAGCATAATTACAAGACCTAATGAATAACAATAAGATGATCGAGGTTAGTGTCGTGTTGTCAATAAGGTGTCAAAACGTAGAGACTACCCCAGCATGCTCTAAGTAGAAGACAGCTCCCTATTTGGTCAAATGCATCCTTGACTGCAACATAACATCCAAAACTTTCCCAATGGCCAGAACCTTCTCCTCATCCAAGTTGCGTCCTACCAGCTGAACACCGATAGGGAGTTCCTTCTCGGCCATGTCTTGCTTATTCTCCTCCCAAACCTTGGTGTTCCACTCATCCATCTCGTTTCTGGGCGTACGATTCCAGGCCGCTTCACAGTCTTCCGCTTTGACCTTGCCGGCGGGTATCACCAGAGCAGTGTAGTCGACAAAGTTCCACACTTTGGTGTATCCCACCCACCTCGTCGCTCGGTGAGGAACTGCGGGGTGCGGCATGGGAGGCATGAGGAGCACATCGACGGGTTTCCCAGTTCGAGGAGAAAGAATGCTGTTCCACTTTTCAAGGTATGCCTGCTGCAGAGCCCGCTTTCGCCTGTTGAGTTGCCAGTACTCAAAGACCGAAATTGGTTTGCCGCGGTTGATCAGCTTGTCAACGTGTGGGATGAAGGGTTCTCCACCTGCTTCCACCTCTCGACGGATGTCCTCTCCTCCATCGACAGTATAAAAGAGATCCATAACTTCGATACACTCTGCGTGAAGTTTGTCGTTCCATTCTATAACCTCGTGGCCCTCTGCCGTCAAAGCAGCTATAGTTTCTTCGAGGACCCGTGAAACAGGTGGATGAGGCTTTACGACACCATCATCATACAAGACGCCGATGGTTAACTTTCGCTGCGACGCGCTTTCGTAGACATCTTGTCGCCATGGAATTGGTGTGCATCGGCTATCCTTAGTCCAGGGCTCCTGAAGTATCGTTTCTTTCATCATATGATGGATAGATGACAGTGAACGAGCGAGAGGGCCGATGGATGAGGGGACATGCTCCTGGCCTTCGGTAGAGACCGGTACTCCGGTGTATGGGAGGCGGGAACTCTGTTTATTGTCAGTCAAGTCTTGTCAACAAGAATTCACTTACGCTTGGCTTAAATCCATAGAGCCCCATCATATGAGCAGGAATACGAATGCTACCGCCGATATCGGTTCCGAGCCCTATCATGCTTCCGTGCATGTAAAGCAAAGCAGACTCGCCGCCCGTAGAGCCTCCAGGCGTGTAACCAGGCATCATAGGGTTGGTCGTCAAGCCCCAGAGGGGGTTCTCAGTCTCACACCACTACAGAAGATCAGCAGTGTTGGATGGAGTCAGAATTGCCTTCAACTGACCATAATACTTTGTGGAAGGTTGGTCTTGGCGATTATGATGGCACCAAGCTGCTTCAACATCCTGACTAGTACGGCATCTTCAGAAGCAGGTTTTAGGGCTCGGCTAGTGTAGCCCAGTGTCGTGTCATGACCTTTGACATTGAACTGGTCTTTGAGAGTAACGGGGATGCCGTGTAAAGGCCCTACTGTCTTGCCTTCTTTAGCATAAAATTCATCGAGCTTCTTTGCCTGTTCCAAGGCTTCTTGGAACAAAACTTCGGTGAGACTAGATCATGTTAGTGCTCTTCCAGTTAGCTTTAAAGTAGCATTGCTTGCCAATTTGTCTACTGTCTTGTCAGCCAGAAATTCTTTCTATTGCAAGCTGCCTTACCATCTTGTGTGCTTCAATCGCCCTGAAATCAGTCAGTGTCAATCCCTCGCACTCACATCGGGGAAACATACCGTGCAATGTAGGCGGTTGTGACAGCCTCACTGGTAATCTCACCACGAGCAATCTTGCCGGTTAAGGCCGCTGCATCGCTGATATCCGTGATCGAGTGAAATCCATTCTGTTCATTCACGGGGTGCTCAGGACTGGATTCCTTCAAAGGCGCTTGCGTTTCTGCTGCAGCAATGGCCTCGGATTGCTGTCGTCGCTTCTCAGCAACAATAGTTTTCCAATCGCGTGTCGACATTGTAACAAACAAATTCAAGAATTCCAGCAGGTAACAGTTATTTGTCGCAGACTTGGAAGCTAGCGGAGAATCTGTGAAGATGTTAGAGGCTGAACCGGCACAAGTACATACCAGCCCGAAGGTTTTGTTGTCAATCGGCGTCTCGAGGCCGAGTTAACCCCGCTCAGTTGGTTCCTCTAATCTTACTTCGGTCGTTTGTCTCCTGCATCGGCTTGCTTGGCCGACAAAGATGGGGGATCTAACGTTAGTCAAGAGTGGGGGACAACGGTTGGAGTCGGGACTTACAATGACCCTCCTATATATCTTTCTAACCGTCCCCTCAGGTTCCAGATAGAGACAAAACTGCCTGATTCATTAACCCCAACACAATGGAAACGCGCGAATGAAGCTTGGGTTTCGAGGCATAACTTACCCCCAGCAGATCAGCTCAGGGTCAAAGGGACCGTCAAACTGGACAGGCCTGCCAGCTGCTCACAAAAGATAGATACCTGGGAAGACCTTTTCGACTTGGCCGGGCCAATTCTTTCAGACCATGATTCGATAAGGGCATAGTTGATAACCTCTCCACCAACAAGTGTCTGATGTGAAGATGGGGTTGTTGGACCAATCAAGGGTGGGGGTAACCTTCGCGATATCTACACAAATTGAAGGGCATTTTCAAACGCTTAGCTCATGAAAGGCAGCGAAAACCCCAATCCGGATACTAAGAAGAACCGGGACCAGGTGCGTCAAGACGTAGTAGTGATCCCTCGAGGTCCACGTCCCCTCCCGTGCACATGCTCATTACAACCCTGATGCTGGGAATCAGGGACACCCGGGCTTGAATACGGCAGCCGTCATGAAGCCATCGAGACACCCTTCCAAGCACATACGACCATACCCACTGGAAAATACGGGATCCCGTCCGCTCTCCCATAGTCAAGCCAGTGAGGGGCGGATTAGTAGTTGAGTCGGTGACGATCAGCGAATCCCCGCTGTTGTATGTTTTTTTGTCTTTTTCCCCCATTTCTAGTCAGGGACGTTAGCTAGATTTACTGTTATGTGCCCTGTGTTAGGAATTCTTTGGTTGAGGAGCGGCCTTGAGCCATTGACCCCGCAAGTGAACATAAAGTCACAAAGCGATCCAACGAGTTCCCAAGAGTCCAATGTGAGCAAATTACTCATTAGCAACGGCAATGATATAGCCAACATATCATAATATCTCGCTTATAATCCCAAGTCATCTCGGTTACAAAACGCGCAGTCAAGTGGCTAGTAACAAGGGTTATTGAGTCACCTCTATGAACCCGTGACATTCCCTGTAAGATTCGGAGGAATGTTAGAAACGCAAGCAGCGATCAAGCTGTAATTCATGCGCTCTCTATGATGTCATTGGCTCTCTTTGCCGCGTGGCTTTGTGGGAATTGCCCTTTTACGTCTAGCTGGGCGCCGTCTTACACCGTGACGAAGCCGATTATCCGACAATGTCACCTCACCGGCTTCACTATTATTGAAGTCTTTTCCCACTTGACTTGACCAGGCATGTAGTCTTGATCACAATTCAAAACGTCTTTCTTGAATAATTCTCAAAGTTATCTTGCTTCTAGACCTCAATACACTTCTGCTCTCCATCTCAGAAACCCTCGGGAATGGCTCCCCTTCGAGTCCTCATATGTGGCGGCGGCTGCGCCGGACCAGCTCTAGCCTTCTGGCTCGCCCGCGGCGGTCATCATGTCACCGTCGTGGAGAGATTTCCAGCACTCAGAGCAACAGGTGCACAAATCGACCTTCGCGAACAAGGTATCGAGGTCGTCAAGCGCATGGGTCTTCTTGAGGCAGTCCGGTCAAGGTTGGTGGATGAAGCCGGTGTGTCATTCGTTGACTCCAACGGCAAAGTCATCGGGACAATCATGGCCAACACTTCGGGGAAGGGTGCTCAGTCTCTGACTTCAGAGTACGAGATTATGCGAGGGGATCTTGTTCGGTTATTGTACGACAAAACGAAGGACAACGTCAACTACATGTTTAACAAGACCGTCGAGAGCTTCGAGCAAGATGAGAAGCAAGTTCTTGCTCACTTCTCTGACGGCACATCCGATGCTTTCGATCTCTTGGTTGGAGCAGACGGCCAAGGGTCAAGAATCCGGAAAGCAATTCACCCGGAAGTCTCAGATCCTTACCGCCACCTAGGCCTTCACATGGCTTACTACTTCATCCCGCGTGAGGAGGCAGACAACAACATCCGCAGGACATATCTTGCTGCTGGTGGCCGAATGATTATGCGCAGAAGTCATAACCCCACAGAAACCCAAGTCTACTTCATTCTCAAGGACAACACCCCCGAAACATCCAGTATACACAGGGGGTCGGTTGAGCAACAAAAAGAGTTCTGGGCCCAAAAGTTTCGGGGTTGTGGCTGGCAGTCAGATCGGTTTCTTGAAGGCATGAAGACGACAGACAACTTTTACAGCCAAGAGGTGGTTCAAGTCTGTGTCGACACATGGCACAAAGGCCGAGTGGTACTATTAGGAGACGCAGCACACTGCCCATCCCCCTTCAGTGGCATGGGGACCACGGGCAGCTTCGTCGGGGCATATGTGCTGGCCGGTGAACTGAGCCGAAACCCCGACGACCTATCTCTGGCTTTGGCAAACTACGACAAAACACTACGCCCATTCGTTAATGAGATCCAGAACGTGAACGCAACTGCTATTCGGATGATGATTCCCGAATCGCATTGGGGCGTGGCTATTATTCACTGGGTTGCCTGGTTGGTTTGTCTTCTTCGCATTCCTGCATTGTTCTCAAGGTTTTCGAGCGAAGAGAAGGGTGGCTGGCCATTGCCAGACTATCCAGAGCTCAGATATAACCAGTAAAAACTTTTGCCAGAGTACATGAGATTCTTCAGATGACTTTGGGTATAGTATGGACACTCCACTTAATACAGGACAGCTTAAGCGAGGAAC